CTTTTTTATGCTCGAACTTTTCTTTTATGGAAAAAAATGCTTTTCACTAATCTCTTGCTAGATGAGTGTCAATGGGTTCAGAAAAGTATCACTCAAATGGATTGAAATTCTACTTTGGATTAAATTTTTGGGGCATTTGTGACATCCCCCCCCTTTTTGCAATATTTTGTATCAAATAAATGCAGATTGTTGCCATGGTTACACCAAAAAGATTATATTTCACCGTTAGACATCAAAAATATGTAAGTTGCTGTTTCCATGAATATGCACATACATGACACAAACAGTAAGCAAGAGAAAGAGGGTGGTTAAAAATTATAAGTGTCAATTTTAAGTTTTTTTCCTAACTGTGTATTGCTACCTTGTGTCAGAGAGATTATGAGAAAGTTTCATCAAAATCTAGAGTGCGAATTAGGAGAAGTTGCGGATACACGATGATGGTGAACTTGATTCATGTCAGCACCAGCCATTAAGCACCAGCCCTTAATGGCTGGTGATATATCATTACGATATTACATCTACTGTACTTGCAGACTAGGTTACCGACTGGATACTTTCAGCGAGGAATGGAGGTTTTAAGTTGACTGTAAAATGGAAGCCCCGACAGTCTGAATGAGCAAATAAAAGAAAACAACTCAAAACTAGAGGCTCTAAAGAGCTGTGTCGCTCACCTGCATCTTCAACAGTGGTCACTTTTTAGTAAAAACAAATCATTATTAAAGGGGAATAACTCTATTAAGAGGTTACAGACTATTTCAGTAATGTTGACATATTTTTAGATCTTATCCTGCTGTTAATGTTTCCTTCTAAAATTTCTATTTATCTATAATAGTATTCAAGGTGATAGGCAAAACATGCAAAAAAATGTAAAAAATTATGGCTTAATTTTAGATCGTGTCTTGCTGATCATTTGTGCTATTCTATCTGTTACAGTTTTCAAGATAATAGGCAAAAAAAATAGGTGAGTGGGTGGTTACATGTGAAAAATCGTCATTATAGTCAGGGCAATAACTTCAGTAAGACCCCGTTTACACTTGTAAAAAAGATCGATATTTTCTGAGATCGATCTTAAAGTCTAATGTAAACGGGAGAGATCGATCTTCAATCGGACTTAAAAAGTCCACCTCCAGAGGTGGTTTTAAAAAGATCGATCTTATTTGAATCGATCTTTCTTCAAGTGTAAACGCTAAGATCGATCGCGATCGATCTTTCTTCGAGTGAATGTTATATTTAGATATGAAAATAAATCTGCACATGTTCCGACGGCAAAAACACACGTGTTTAAAAACGATGGATGGGATAAGAAAAGTAAACATAGATTCGGCCGTTTTTGGATCATTCTTCTGAATCGATAAATTCTATTTCTTTGCTGCAAATCCTAATCTTCAAACGCATTGACAGTTTGTTTTAAGTAATAGTGTTCTCACACATTTCTTTGCGGTTTAATGACTAGTGACGTGTGAACCAAAAAGATAATTGATAACTGCATACGAAATTCCAATGATCCAACAGTATTTTCTCCATAATTTTGCAGTGCATGTGTGATAGTCCGCGCGAAATGCACACGTTATTATTCTATTCTATTTTTGCGATTATTTGTTAACGAAATGTAAAGTAATCAGGTCAGACCAGTTCTTTTTATGTTGCAGTGTAAACGCACTAGATTAAATAAGATCGATCTCGATCGATCTTGCTTGTGCAAATGTAAATGCGAACTGGTCTTTTTAATATCGATTCAATTAAAGATCGGTTCAATTTCGTACAAGTGTAAACGGGGTCTTAGGAATTGACTAACGATTTAGGTCATGTTGACTTATTTGTAGATATTGTCTTCCTGGTCATTTTTGCATTTTAAGTTTCTATCTATCTATTATAGTTTTAAGAAAATAGGCAAAAACACAAATAATGGTAAAAATCGTCATAAATTGCAATAACTCTAATAAGGAGTCGACTAAAGATTTCTACTATGTTTTGACTTATTTGAATTATTTGTAGATCCTGCAGTGTTGATCAGTTTTGCCTTTTTATATTATAGTTTTTAAGATAAAAGGCACTTAAGCCAAAAAAAAAAACTCCTATAAGAAGTCGTCTGACAGTTTTGACGTAAATATAGGCCGTGGCAATATATAGAACTCAACATTCTGAACATTCACGCCTCTGTCAGATTTTCCCTTTTTATAGCGGTTTTCAAAAATAATAGGCAAGAGCTCTGAGCATAGGCAAAACTTGCATTTTACCCCTATGTTCTATTGTTAGCAATGTCGGCCATCTTGGTTGGCAGGTAGAGTCATCGGACACATTTTAAAACAAGATACCCTAATGATGATTGTGGCCAAGTTTTGTCAAATTTGTCAACGGAGACGACGCCGACGACGGACGCCAAGTGATGAGAAAAGTTCACTTGGCCTTTCGGCTATAGGTGTGCTAAAAAGGAGTTATCATAGAAGAGATTTGAACGGAATAACCGCAACCTAAGCTTTTCTTGCTAAAAGTTCAATAAATTCAAAAAAGAGATAGGAAATTGTCGCTCTTGAAAGTGCCGAGGATATTGCAAACCTGATGAGAATGGAGACACCACCCTGTCCACGTAGGAAGAATTGGCACTGGGGTCACCGGATGTATTAGACACTGCATGGTGAAGGCGTTTATCCACTGCAGTCATAACGTCTGAATGCCCACCCTGCTCTGCAAGTTCTATGGCCGCACGAACGGTCGGAGAAGATGACTGTAACAGACAGATGGTGGAAATTTATAACAGCAATCACCTTAGACCTTTCACATTAAACATATCTGTTTGAAGTGAAAGAAGAAGAATGTTTTCTACTCGCCATCACAAATTACCTGAAGCCATACAATCAGATGTATATGTTGACCAAGCACAAAAAGCACTGTTTGCTATATACAGAAAGAGCATATTTAAATACCTATTGATATTCAGCTGCAACTTTTTGATGCTTTGATTGCATATGTATTCCTCCTAGTTTTTGGGGGTTCGAAAACAAACAAAATCTTGAAAACAATGCATCTGCTGTACCGAACAAATATTCTTGCGATTCTGGTTAGTAAACCAAACGTTAGGGTTTACGGGAATTTGGTCCTTTGTATTTCTCTCTAAAGCTTCGGATGGCGTCATTTAAACGAACAATTAGAGATTAGATATAACTTGATATTGACTGGTAGGAAAGTACAGAACAACTCAGTTCTATCAGCTTGGTTATCATATATATGGAAGATATATGTTTACCAGGGGTGAATGTTATGCTTTGGTCAGACCAGAGTTTTGTTTTGAACCACAATTATTTAGATAACTACACGTGGGAAACTATTATATTTCTTATCTTCGAAGTTCAAGCTTGAAGCTACATTCTGAGACTGGTAGATGGGCAGGTAATCCACAAGAAGATAAATAATGAATATAATAATGAGGGAATAGGTGATGAGTTTCATGTATTGTTTACTTGTAAATGCTGATATTTCTACTCTCGGGTCAAAGTTTATACCTAATCATTATGTCATAATCCCAAATATGAATACATGTTTTTGTCTGCTTTCTTTATGTTACATTCAAATGCAAAAGAAGTTATCAATTTTCGTTAAGAAAATTATGAAAAACAAAACTAGATGTCTTTTATATCACACGATGGTTTTGTGATTTTCTGTTGTCTCGCTATGTATTGTCTATTGATTGCAATTAATAATATTGGTATCTGTCTGAGGTTATGAACAAAATTCTGAATTCAACAAGGAGTTGCATGTAAATCGTAACTTGATGGCTGCGTGGGGTTTCTTGTATTACTGTTTTATCGTTAGCACATTTATTGAGTATTTTGCAAGAAAAGGTGAAGAAAAGGCAAAAAGCTTTATTCCGCAAATCGGATTATCTTAGTCTTTTCGAAAAAAAAAAATGGCCTGTCTATCTGAATAAATGATACATACTTTATAAAAAAAATGTGAATCAAATTTTTAAAAAATTCAACCGAGAGTTTCACCAGTAAAATTTGATAGTTAACGAATAAAATCTGCGATCAGGAATTGAAGAATTCGTCATAAAAAATGTAGACTTTGTGAAAACGAAATTCCCAAATTCGCTATTATAAATATTACATAATTACTATCTGATATTACGAATTAAAAAAAAAACCAAAAAAAAAACCATTATAACGTATTTATTCAGTAATAAATTAGAGAATGAAAATAAAAATGAGGATTGTAATCCGTTACTGCAAATTATATACTTTATTTGAAACACTCAGGCACATATATAATATAGATAATTCGTATTAATATTTATTATGTGTTTCTGTCATAACTGAGACTACTATAACACATATAGTAGTCTCATGTTATAAGATTTTATTACAAATACATTTTTGACAGGTCCCTACAAAATAGGTTTTCATGTATAGCCCTGTAATATTAATGCAATAAATTTAACAGTATCTGCAAATATGTAAAAAAAAAAAAAAAAACAGAAATGGGTTGTATTCAATGTTAACTTTGTTTTAATCATTAGATCTCATGCATACCATATTTAAGATTATTTTAATTATTCAATATATGTATGGTGTCCCGACTGGGGCAAAATATTTCCATAACTTCCTTAAATCAGTATACTTATTGTTTGCAATGTTTCAAAATGTCTTGAAGGTAAATAAATATCTATAATTCTTTGGATTTTTTTTCACCTGTTTATGGTTAAACCTGTAAAGGCAAATCTGATCTTAATCTGTTATTATATACAGCCTGAGGTTTTGAAAGATCTACATCGGCAATTTAAAGGTGTTTATTTTGAAAAAAAGATGAAATTCCTGTTTTTTTTAAGATTTAAACATTGCATGATACTGGGCAGTGTATGTTTTATACCTTTGTATGCTTATGTTTTATCAATTAATATGTTTGGTGGAACGTTTTACTATTATAGTAAAAATAGTGACGCTTTACGTCTTACCTGGCACTACTTTCATTGTTATGCAAATTATAATTAATGTCGTAGACAGGTATTCCTCCGCCGTCTATTGACATACACAAATAACATGGCGACTATGAAAGTACCGCTAAGTTTTGTCCTCGTGGAATATTACCTGGATTATTTCGTAAAATATTAAGAAACTGGACTAGAAAAAAATATTTAAATTGTGTTACAGAAGATCAAGATTTTTAAGGGTATGTACATTTTCATATTATCGTAAAAACTGAATGTTTATCATGCACATGACGGATGGCATCACCGTTCAGGTAATTATCGATTTTCCAGGTGAGTCACGTCGATCTTATAGACGCCACCAAATGAAACCTAGCTTGTTAAATAGCGATTCAAGATCTAAACTTGCTTCAATATATATAATTTATATTAATGTATATATAAATTATTTTATTATTTGTATGAACAAAAACCAGCAATTTGTTTACAGTGTAAATATTTTTTTACGCGGAATAGGTGTTATTTTGTAACTTTGACCAATATAGAATATATATATATTATTTGTTTCTTTCCTTTTTTCATATTATATTGAAAATTGAACTAAAAATATAATACCATGTGTTGGTTGGTCATTAATGTGACGCCAATGTTTTTAACTGAACATAGGTGAAAGGCATTTGTTGTCGGTCCCTTTGATGGTTAATTACTATTACATAACAGCAAAACATTTCTTAGCACTAATTGGATTATTGCTTTGATTGTTTGTATGTCTATTAATTGTGCAAATTACAGGTAAAAGATAAAAGAAAACATAATAAGAAAATAAATATTTAATGAATAACATGCTTGGATAAATTCTCTATATCTAAAAATAGTCAGAGAATCTGTCTTTTATGACACTTAGTATGAAAAAGAACAGGTGTAAAATAAGCTTCCAGAAACAGATTAATTTTCAGATTTGGTCAGTCTTTATCAGTGGCAAGAGTAAAATGATCTGATGGATTTTATCACAACTCCAAGTGTCATTTTATTTATATAGAATGTAGGTAATATATAGATATTATAAGAAACAATAAGTCCTTATCACAGGTCTGTCATATAGTGTATTGTTAAGTGTGAAATGTCACCACTTGTGGCCATTATACATCTGATGTTTATTTGTATATCAATTTAGTTGGTTAATTTATACCTGCCAAAAGATAATTGTATTATCTCCAAGAATGTCCTAATTACTCAAAATGTCACCAGTTAATGTAAAAGTCTGGTAAATTCTGTCTAATCCTCCAAACTGTAAATGCAACTAAAAAAGATTTAAGAATCTATTATATAAAATTCGTAAGGGTTCCGCGGAACCCAGTGTCTCGCCTACTTTTGCTGTTAATCACAAGCTCAACAAAAATGAGGAAAAAAATTAATAAAAATATTCCTCTCTATACTTTCTTTTGATTGTAAGTAGCTTCTGTCCAAGTTTGGTAAAAATCCAGGATAGTTTATGAATCTAATAAATGTTTTAAAAACTTAAACTGCAGACTGTATGTAATGTTAACTGGAAAAAAAACTAAGTCCATTTATAAGTAAAACACAGAAAAAATGGAACAAAATTTTAACAAAATTTCCTTCTAGATACTAGCTTTTAATCATAAACAAGCTTCTGTCCAAGTTTGGTACAAATCCAGGATAGTTTAAGAAAGTTGTTAAAATTTTAAAAACTTTAACCACAGAGTGAATGTAATGTTAACTGGCAGAAAAACTAAGTCCATTTATAAGTAAAATACGGAAAAACAGGAATTTTTTTTTTACAAAATTTACTTCTGGATACTATCTTATGATCATAAACAAGGTTCTTTCCAAGTTTGGTAGAAATCTAGGATAGTTTAAGAAAGTTATTAAAATTTCAAAAACTTTAACCACAGTGTGAATGTAATGTTTCCTGGCAGAAAAACTAAGTCCATAATTTATAAGTAAAATACGGAAAAAATGGAATTTTTTTTTTACAAAATTTACTTCTGGATACTATCTTATGATCATAAACAAGCTTCTGTCCAAGTTTGGTAGAAATCCAGGATAGTTTAAGAAAGTTATTAAAATTTCAAAAACTTTAACCACAGAGTGAATACTTGTGGACGCCGCCGACGACGCCGACGGAATGTAGGATCGCTATGTCTCGCTTTTTCGACAAAAGTCGAAGGCTCGACAAAAATGAAGAGAACTTATTTTTGTGTGTGGCTTTCCAACACTAGGATAAAAAATTATCCCCAGTTCCTGTAGCAAGCTCACAGACTGTGTGTAGTTTGTAACCAATTAATTGGAAAAATCTAAGGAATGATTTTGAAAATAAATTATCTCAAATGTCCCCTCATCCAATTAGGATCAACACTTTTGCTTCCAAAAGACTTGAAGGGAATGGTAATTTATTGAGCGATGTGGATAATTACATATATCCAAACAACAACCCACCAAATGCATAATTGAAAATGAAAAGATAAGAATAAAACCAAACAACATCTTAAATGAAAACAACTCGTAAACAATATGGATGTATGTGTCTTATGTAAGTTAATAGTCAATGGACAAAAGGTATGAATGGTAACCAACAATATATAAAAAAGCAAAGCACCACAACATACCTTAATGAAACAAAATTGGATTAAAAAACAACCAAAAATTTTCAACAACAACACACTAAACAATCTTTCAGAATAAGACGTAGACTCACAGTTAAAAAAATAAAGCAAATATACTCAAACTGACTAAAATAGGCATAAACATTAGTAAACTACAAAAAGTTTATCAGTTTTAAATTTGGATTTTAAAAAAACCACAAAAGTCCAATTCAAATGCCAACAATTTTTATCCATGTTTTTTTAATTTTTATACTCAAGATCTTATGCTTTCAAAAACTTTTTTTGTAAATCAAGGCAACACGACTATGTCAGAAGTTTCAAGCATTTTAACTTGCAATGTAGTGTTGACTCTAATGTTCTTTGCATGGGGGAATTGTCCAAAGAAAAGATTTTGTTTTGCAGATAAATTATCGCATGAGATATTTCTACCATAATACAGAGACACTGACCTGTCAGGCATATATGGAGATGGTAGATTACCTACATAAATATTACTACAAGTTCTATACTATAATTGAATTAAATGACTTTACTTCTTCATAATAATTCATATTTGATATAGATTTTAAACCATTTATTTGTCATCTTTTGGAACTCATTACTTTAAGTTTTGTTAAAGTGCCACTAAACTATACAAAAAACCAAATTGTAAGCTGGTTGACAATTAGGGTCAGGTAAATTTGGAATATTGCCAGATTTGTAAAAGTTGTTTACACCTGGGCTCATCTGCCATGTTTACTTACCTACATAGGTAGTAAAAATTACAAGGTCATCAAACCTTATATGGAAAGATTATGCAAATAAACATGGAGCTCACTACATAAAGGCCTAATAAAATCTAAAGTTTCCATGTATAGTTAAAATTACGAAGATAAATGTATTCACTTTACAAATACAGTTGTTTTACCATCTACTCACAATGAAAGCAACAACAGAAATGCATTAGTACAAAGTTACCTCCCATAAATTATCAAAAGCTACTTTATCTACAGTGATCACTAGACTGTCAAAGCTGAGGTTGTGAGTTCAAATTTTGCTCGTGGCAAGGTGTGTTTGACTCCAACCTCAAAAGTCTAGGATTGACTAAGGTGTGTTGTTCTCTACAGTTACTCAAGCTTCACCCACGGCACCAATATAAACTTGCTGCCATGATACTTGGTGTTTCTTCAAAAGTAGTGAAAGTGGCATTAAACACCAACAACCAATCAATCAATCATAGCACAAGTTCCTACATGTATGTTAAAATGTCCTTTCAAGCTGACACAGAGATCAGAAATAATCCCTACACTGCTGCTTATTGTTCAGATACAGGTACCATGGCTGAAGTAACTAATAATTGTACTGAACTGATATGAATAAAAGATATGTACATGTAGGGTGTATATATGTCTATGAAACAATAAGTTGATGATGACAAGACCAGTTTGACAATTAAAAGTAACAGTACCAAGACCATGCAGTATAGGTCTGAACTTTTTTTATGGAGAATAATTCTTTCCAGTCAGGTTATTTGATAGCGAATTCTGAAGGGAGACCTTCCAAACTCTGTTCTGATTCTCTGGCGCCTGCTTTTATAATCGTTTTGCTTGGTTTTCATAAATTATTGCTGCTATTATGAATAAGTAACTGCAACATCTTGTTTTCCAGAACTAGATCTATTAAGAGCATTGACGTACCAAAATAGGTCAACATGTCACATCTCTTAAGATGTTAGTAATAGTTTAATCTTCTAAACAACTTCTCATTTTTCAATTTGAACACTTTCTATTGTCATTTATTACAGATATATGATTTACAAATAAATCAAAACTCAATCCATTTTGGTTTTATGTCCCGTAAATTTCCCTATGAAAATATGGCTTAAATATTGGCCATTTATTATAAATTGTGACTGTCTTCCTTTCTATATCACTGTTTCAAGTATAATCAGGATTTAATTGATTGTGGGGAGTGAGGGGAAGTGTGAGCTAGGAAGTGAGTCACAGCATTCATTGTGTGGCTTATTCTGCATTTACTCCACAGGTAAAAATAAAGGTGGAAGATTAAAAATACTTTGAACTGAATAACCCATTACTTTTTGTTTGACACCTGAGTTTATTTACATTATATGTATTGAATTGATTCTTATCATTTAGGTAGATAGATATGTTTTTGGAAAATTGTTCATCTGTAGGTGGGTAGAAGATTTAATTTAAATGGCTTATATATGAATAATTACTACTGCATTTAATATCCTGGTTCCTTGTTTGAAAGTGCTTTCTCTTTTGGATATATGTGATACCCGGAATAATGTATAGTTTAACTTTTATATTTAAATGTTTTTATGCTTTAATCATATTAAAAAAAATGATTTCGTATACATTTTGTAAAATCAAAGGAGAATTTGTTAAATTAAATAAAAGTTTTGAACACTAAACTTTTAACTACATGCAAAGACCTTTTTCGATTAATCTGTGTTAAAAATCTTTTCTTTATTTGCACTCACTCAGGGTCAGAAACGTATATCTTGATATATTCATTTGTAGAATGGACTTTTCTGATAAGTTTTAATTTCAATTTGACAACTTCATACAGTTACCAATGATAAATAATATAAAAGTATTAAAATAGAGGTCAGGTACATAAGTAAATTGTCCAAACTTAGATACTAAACAATGTCCTATCACTACTTCTCGCCTTCAGTGGGATGACCTGCCTCGTTTTACTAAGCTTGGGAGGTTTTATAAAGATAGCATAGTTGGTGTTGCCATGCATCTTTTCTTAATAGAAAATCTTACTAAATCCATGTTAAGTAGGAAGAAATGAGTTGTAAATTATTTTTAATTCAATTAAAAGTTTGATTAAGATAAAATTATTAAATTATCAGATAATATAATATACCAGTCAAGATATTACACAAGGTTTTAAAGGGGAGATAACTTATAGTTCCTAGATTTTTATCATAAGGATTCATAGATATTTATATCAATTGTTTAAAGGTCTTGAAGAGACATATTTAAAAAAAAAAAAGCTGAAGAAGATTGATTGATTGTTGTTTGTTTGGTGAATAGCATGAAGATGACATAATGTTATGGACTAAATGATGGCAAACATTGAAGTGGATGTTGTGAATTACAATCTGACTTGAAAAGAAATAAGTATGTGTAGATGCTTTTTTAAAATATATAAACCAATTCAATGGACTGGTGATAGGGTGCTCACTTCAAGTGTGGGAGCTCCTTGGTTCTATCTCATGCTGGGTTGAACAAGAAGCTTTTTAACTAATATTTGTTGCTCCTCTGTCAAGCACGCACCATTTAGATTTAAGAGGCTTTTCAGCTTGGACTCAGGGTTACGTTTGATATGTCTTACTGCTGACTATTACTTTTTGAGGTAGCAAGTTAAGATTCCACCTAAATGTATTGAACTAGTAAAAAGAAGCAACCATTAAATACTTATTATTCAAAATATTAGATTAAGATTCTTGTGCATATACTAGAATCAAGAACTTTTCGCCTTTCTAATTTTATTTTAAGGAGTGAATCTTGATTCAGGTCATGAACACAAATTCCATAAAGGTTAGGAGATCATTGAAGCAGAGTAAAGTTATGAATAATTTATCAAGCATCCTCCAATATAGGATTTTTATTGTGCAACCGATCTGTTAAAAACATGAATAAATTTGACTCATTTATAGAAAAAGGTTAATTTAAACAACTATGATTCCATTTATATGATTTACTGTGATATTATTAGCTTGATATTTACTAAAGATACATTTTTATGTTAAAATTAAAATGTACAATTTTACTTCATTTCAGAATTTTAAAGACTTCATGCATAATAAAAAAACTTGGACATTTTGTATAAAGTTTATAATAAATTGGTATGGATAATATGGAAGGCCCCCTTCCTCCTGGAAAGCAGGGCGGTCCTAATTGGTATGACACATTGGACCGGCATCAGAGTGTACAGTTCTCAGCAAAAGGTTTAAGAAATGCACCAGGAGAAAATAATTGCTTCCTAAATAGTGCTGTGCAGGTAAGTCCTTAAATTTACAAGTTACCTCATGTAATGTTTTGCTGTTACAATACTGGCCAAGATTAAGGGGAGGCTTGAGCATTCAGAAACTTGTACAATGGTTAATCTCCTTCATAAAATTGTTAAAAAATAATATTTGATGTAGAAAAATTTAAATGTACATGTTTTGATTCTCTAAAGAAGGGAATGTCATGTGTAAGAAACTATCGAGGTTTTGTATATACCAAAACATTGGTTTGAATAATTTATCCTTCCATAATACATTTGTATCTGTTCATCGACCAGTATTTGTATTTTTCTGAATTTTACTTCAGAGATTGAATTTTAGAATAAAAAGTTAAAATGTATAAATGTCATACATGTAAAAGGCCAAAGAATCAAACTTATATCTTAAAATATTTTCCAATTCACTTATCATATTTATATCCTTAAAAACTCATCTACATCCTGCTGAGCTTAATATATATTATATCTTAAATTATCTCCCTTGTCAGAAAAGTTAAATATTTTGTATATTTTACCCCCTAGATTTGTTTTAAAAGGATAACCTTGTACTTAATCTTTTACACCAATATTGTTAATGTTTACTACACATTGGTCAAGAAGTACAATAATGATTGACACATTGAGTCAGTATTACAGCCAATTATGAACTTGTGATGAACATTAGTTACTTTTCTTTTAAAGATTATTTTTTATAGTATATGAAAGAAAGAGTTATAAATGGTCAATTCATCTGAAATATTTTTTGATAGTTAATAATAGATAGAAATAATCCTTTAATTTGGTCAATGGAGTTAGTTATTTTGTCACTTTAACCTGTTGCTGTGTATGGTCAGGCAGATGTCCAAATTACATTGCCGTTAAAATGTCCAAACTTCTGACAAATAAACAAGGTCAACATGGATCGGTGCTCTTTCATATTAAAGACACGAGCAAAGGGGTGTTTTTAAAGTTCTTTTAGAGATCTTTGTCCTATAAGTGTATAATTATTTCAGTTTTCAGCTGAGTTGCTGAGAACAAATGAAATGAAGTCATTGTCATATGAAAAAGTGATACACCTAGACAGAGCTTTCACAATAGCTCCATTAACAATAACTGTTCTACAAAGTTTTCTGCCCTGCATTATAAGACAACTTTATATTGAATGGGTAGAAAATGGACATCAGGGGTATTTTGTAAGACTAGAAAAAGCGGGGAAAATATTGCACTTGTTGAACAAATGTTGATCGGACACCATCTTGTGTCAGAAAAAGGAGACACTTTAACAAGTTTTTGCTGATACTATCTTAAAACTATGACTAAAAATCAACAATGCAGTCGTTACTTTGCATAAAACATTCATGAAGCAATGGAATTCAATACAATACCTCAATTTTCATATTTTTATTGTTTAAGCAACTTTTATCATCTACTTACATCTGTCCTATTGTAATAATGGGTGTATTTAAAATGCTGGAAACAATAACTAACAAAAGATAGAATACTTCATATTTTGTAATTTAGTTTTGTTAAGAAATTCTAAATAAGCAATACCTATGTATACCTATCTTATTTGACAAAACAAGTATAGAATATCATACATTTATGAAAATGGACAATTTCAGAGTTCCGACATGGCTATTTCCTTGTATATTTATTGTTATGGGTTGGTTGTAAATCATAATTGGTCATAATTTGCACTACTTAATAGGTCTTGAAATCTTGTTAACAAGGAGAAACAACAGGATGACTCTTGTTCTGGTTATAAGGTTACCTTAATGATTTAATGAAAAGTATAAAAAACGTGCAGGTATAATTACGATTATATGATGACCCAAACCAGAGAATTACCGATCTGTATGATTTGACAGAACTGACACCAACCAGAAAAATTTGTCATCCATTCTTGGTCATACCCAAATTATTTCATCAAACTGATTTTTACAATTCATTGATGTAATTTTTGAATAGGATCTTCATTTTTGACATCTTGTTAGTATTTGATAAATTATGGTTTAGTCATAGGATAGTGAACCTTAAATGACAGTTGTGAAAAATCATTTATTGATGATCTACCTAAAAAGGTAAAACTCAAATTAAGACATGAAAATTGTTTTTTCCAAACAAAATTTATATTTAGCAACTTCCTGAGAACCACCTTAAAACTAAAACTGAAAAGGAAATGTGTTAATTATAATTTATTATATTCTTAAAACTAGGTTTTCTTTTTATTTGGTAGTATTTAAATATCATTTATATTACAGTTAGGAAAATCCTATTTTCTATTTAAAGTGTCACAAAATGGACATGAGCCAACATGAAAATTGGCTACTTGTTAAAATCCAATTAGACCCAAACAAAAGTATACCTATTTGTTACCTAGAGGGTGACAGTTTTACTACAATAGGAGAATTTACACTCTATTGTGAGGACTGGCTGGACCGAAAGTGCTAAGTGCTCTTTGGTGTACAAAAATTGTTACCTAAGTTATAAAAAGAACCCAGTTAGACTCCTGGTACTTGTGTGTCTAGTATATCTATAGATAATTCTGACATTAACAAGGAAACAAATAGATTGGAGAAAGATAGAACTATCTTAAAAACTACCTTGTTCCTCTTTTATTTTTTACTTCAAAAGTGACATAGCATTTCTAAACACAAACTGATCAAAACAAACCACTTAAGCATTACAGATTTTAGGTTGTTATATCTGTTAAGATTTAAAAACCCATCTATAACAGCTTTTATATAGATAAAGGAAGGTCTTTTCACATTACATTTGTATACCAACTTCCTGTCCTAAATGCATGCTAAAAAATCTTGCAAATTTCTTCTGAAACATTTGTTCAGATGGCTAATTATTAGAGTTGTGCAGGTTAATCAAATTTGCTGGTTTAGCCTTATTTGGTCCCTTTTTCAATCCTAATAAAAATACCATCCTTGATTTTGTAAAAAGGCACATAGTAGAACAGTACCTAGCATGGGATCAAATCTGCTAAATAATATACTTTGTTGTTTGTGCTTTCAGTTATTGTCTTAATAAGGAAACTGTGATTTTACAATGGATTAAATAAGTTTCCAACAAAAAACTGATGCTTCATAATGCTTAATGTTCTTGTTTGGAAAGATAATAAAGTATTCTTACTCTACACATTCCAGTACAGATAATTTACAAAGCAAAGCCAAGGATATGTGAATATATCTGACAAAAAAACCCTTAAAGGATTTATGTATCCAATAATAAGATGCACCCTTTATGTTTTTTTAAATCAAAGTTGAATAAGTAAACTTAAAAATTAAGAAAAAGTCTTAATAAATAGTGTAGTGAAAAAGAGATTTTTGTTGTATAAATCCTTTAGAAACCAAGAATACAATCCCTAATTAATAATTGGCAGATGACATTTAATAAAATGATATAACAATACAGGTGTCCAGACTTGTGTGTCCTAGGATATAATCCTTGTATTGTGTTGGTTCCAGCAAATCCTTTTACAAATATTGTTGTGTATTGTCAATATTGAGATTATAAATTTCTAATTTTCAAAACCTTGCTAAATGTTGGAGACTGACAACTTAAAAGGAATTCTATAAAGAGCTTTGTTTTAAGACTTTATAAAATTATTGATAAACCCTTACTGCCATGAAAAGAGAAAATCAATTTCTGGCTTTAAATCAATGTCCCAGATAAAAAGTCAATGAACTCGTTTATAACAGAATAGTCTCTGCCACCTGCTGTCTCTTGAGGTATACAACAGCTTGCCTCCGACCAACTTCTCTACAATCTAGTCATTTGTTACCCTAGTTAACAACATTATATCAAATCTGGGACATAATATACTGTAAATTCAGAAATTATTGTGAGGTTTAAATTCATGCGAATAAATCGACTCGGTGAGGAATCGCAATAATAAGAACTCGCATTCTGATATCAGATACATATATCTGTATGCAAATTTTCCTGAAATTGCAATAACTAGTCTTTCATTTTCGCCCATTTTTCAGAAATTGCAATAATAAATGCAGGCAATAATAATACTATTCCCAGATCAAATGCACATTTATCAGTCCTAAAGACTTAATACTGTGTATTGTGTTTATATTCTTTCTTAGAAATATTTCTGACTGAAATTTCCAAATTTGAGGAAGGTAACATACTCATAATATAGAATCTTATTGAATTAGGTCAGATTTTGACAAATATTAGCATGTTTCATGTCTACCTGTAGGCAGTACATTACATCACTGTTCCATCAAATTTGCACCTTATGAATAAGTTTTGCCTAGGAGGCAAATTATAGGTTTTGTATAAGTCTAAATTGAAAATCAAGGAACAGATTTTTTCTTAATTTATTGATACACTGGACAGACAGTTAAATTATAGTCTAGTGTATATCATTTAGTTGACATCAAGTCATTTTATGGTCATAAAGATTTAGATGGTAATTGAATACAAGTTTCTTGTATGACAAGATTAAATAAATATTGGTGTCTAGTAATGATTACTAAATGGCATATTCTTTTTATGGATACAAAATGTAGAGTTTTCTTTGACACTTGGTTAATAAAAATAAAAGTGGGGTCTCTTTTGAATTTGGTACTTGTATTCTAATTTTCTTTCAAGAAATCTTATTGAAAAGGTATTGACACAATCCTTACAGGTACAAATGAGATTTTAAATTTTTAACCATGTTTACTTAAAATTTAGAACCAAGCTAATCCCTTGTTGGTATTGTAGATGTAAATAAAGATTATAAACAAGGAATGAGTTATCCATATTATCATTGTAATTATCTCCCTTTAATATTTAAGCATTTCAAAGAATTTTCGGTTTAAGAACTGAAGTGGTCTGTATGAGGTTTTACAAATATTTTCCAATTGTTCATAATATACAAACAAACAACAAAAACATGTCAACAATCAAGATTGTGAGAAAGAAAACAAACATTTATCACCAGTTTCATGAAATGTTTAATTATTGACATGCTTAAAAATTTTCAACATACTACAAGTGTGTGTTATGTTTGTATGACGTAATGTGACAGGTCTGTAACAGATCGAGTGACTTAAATTATATAAATGTTTTATTGAGGCTTGAAACCACTATGCTAGGGGTATATTTGCTTATCAAATGACACATTTGAAGAATATTATGGTGACAATTCATAGGAAAATATTTCATTAGTCATAGACATACAGCTTGCAGGGTTTCCTTAAAGGCAGTTGGTTATTCTAATGTTTAAGCCTTCAAAAACTAGAGTAGACTGACTTATAAAAAAATTTAACACAAAGCAGAGGAGAGAATATTTATAGGTTAATTGTGTGTATTGTTATTTTTTTATCTATGGAATGTCATTTTGAGGAGATTATGTCTGAATATCTTGCTCTTAGTATTGTATTACATAATTCCGGATAAAAAACTTATTCAAAAGTAGATTAAATTATCTTAACAGCGTCCTTGAGATGCTGTTGTTTGTGACATAAACTAAGAACACATAACTATATAATATATTCTCTGTGTTCTGCTTTCTGTTCATTTTTTGAACTAGTAAACTTTTGCCATTTACCCATAATACAGATATTTTTGTTCTCAATGGAGTATATCACTTTTAATAAGAGTATATACCTTCTTCAATTGAATTAAACTTCTTGGTACATTGCCCTGCATTCTATGATGCTGTATCAATGTTTTTTCTCCTCTGCAGTCTATCCTGTGTTTCGTTCTGTTCGGCATTTTTACATCAATTTTATCTATTTTTCATGCCAGAGTGACTTTTAAATTTTGCATTTACAGCATAAATTTGCAGGATGTGTTCTATAACGGTTCATCTATAAAACATTAAAAAAGACTTTTTTCCTCACTTCTGAACGAATTCAATTTAACTCTTGCAAACCCATGCAATTCATTTGTTCCATTTCTGTAAAAATCACCATTTTAAATCTATTTAAAAAGTAAATCTGTTTTTTTTAGTTTCATCTTCAATGACATAATTTTATGAAAAGATTTTACATTATGTTTCGTCAGCTGTTTCCTGCTGAAAGTAACTTTGAAGTGCTCTGATGACCCAAAAACTACTTTTTATAATAAATGATAACATTACAAACCGGAAACTACACAACCTTGATTAAACAATATGATCATCCAAAATTATACGAAACCTTATAAAACAGGTAAAAATAAAAGTCTTATTTCCTTTTAGGTAATCCTCTTTATACCTTGAAAGAACATCAGTCAAGGTTGTCCTTCGGGTCCTTTCATTTTCTCTCATTTATAACTGTCTATGACACCTATTTATATACCCTTCACTGCATTTAATGATAAAAGAACTCTTCAGAAGACAGGATTTTTTAAGACCTTTTTTTTCAAAAAGCTGTAATCTTTCAAGCTGGGTAATGGTAGCTTGGGATAAAATTACTCTATCATTGTTCCTTCACTGAGATGATCGATTGCTTATACTTCAGTTCAGGAGTAAAACGTAAAGCGCTAAAATTAACCTTTGTCACTGATTCTGGCCTAATTGACAAAATTTCAATAAATAAATTATAAGTAGTTGTATAATATTGACTCTATCCAACAGGAGTGGGAGGGCGGAAATAGACAGTGTATCTATTAAAAACTGGTGAAAACAGGTGCCCTTCAGATAACAGTACCAAAATAGGTCACCTGTAGCCTAATATCAACAAATGATTTCCGGAGAGGTTTAATTTCAATCTTTTTTAAGGCTTTTTAACAAGTTTTATGAATATTAAGTCCTCAGAAACCTTAAATTACCTGTTTTAGTACTTTCATAAAACCAAGTGACACAGTTTTATACCAGTTTCTCATTTTATCTTTGCAGTGAGGTAAGCTTACATTTTTGCATTTTTTCTGATTTTGAAGGACTGGGTTTATTTATTTTTGCCAAAATCTTTAAATGTTATTTTCAGCATGATCTAAATGTCACTTTTGAGAATTAACTGTAGGTCATCATTTGTACAAACACAAATATAGTGAAAGTAACAGTTAATGTATTTTTTTCATGATCAGTAGTTCTCTTTATAAGTGGAGCATCGTGAGTTGTATCTTAAGTTGAATTCTATTTTTGAAAAATCACTATGGAGATCAATGTTTATTGACGAAATATTTTGCCAACAAAGTAATTTGTAAAAACAATGCATGATTTTGTTGAGATTCTATCCATTATAAAAACATGATAAGTATCTACTTAATGAAATATAAGAACCTGATGAGACACAGGTAATGATCGGCACTTCCGGGATTTTTAATTGTCTTCATATAGTCTGATAGAATTGATTCTTCTACCTGGTAAAAATTAATTCTCTTCTGTAATTAAAATAGAATGCGAGATTGTATAAATGATCATTGACGTAATGTTTAAGCGAAGTCTGATGTTCGTTCCTAGTCTTTATTTTAGTATAATTTGTTCTAGCTATTTTCAGTTATCAAGTCTATTAGAAATAAAGTTATTGTCGAACTATTTCCCCAATAGATTTCAACATTGTTTGTATAATACTATAACTTATGAATATCCCCAGGTCATTATACAAACACAGATGTTGATGCTGAATCGATCAATATTCAATTTTTCTACGTAAAACGTAAACGCAGGTATATATTGCAAATTTCCTGACTGAGTAATACATGTAGGAGTCAGAGACAATATTCAATTTATCAGTGAATCAGTTGTGTGAAATAGTCCATGAATTAGGTTATGGAATTAATTTATTCTGTGTTTTATTTTTCATGAATGAAATGATGGACACATCAGACAAAATGTGTACAGAGGGTATTATTTTTAAGGTAAAAAAAACTTGTGTGTGTCACATTGAATCAAGAATGATATTGACAGAATGTGAATGAAGTTTTAGTAATTAATTAATACTGTATATTTATTATTTACAGGTTTTTTGGCATTTGGATGTATTCCGTCGCAGCTATCGTCGCCTAACAGGACATTTATGCATGGGGAACTCTTGTATATTCTGTGCTTTAAAGGTGAGTTCATATTTGACATGTATTGAAATGGTCATTATTAATGATTATTAATGATTTACGATTTTTTAAAAAGTTTTTTTTTTCTGTCAAAATGGTTGGGGCAGAGAAAAAATATTGTTGATTAATTTATCCAATTGAATTGGAAAAATTGTCCTTAAAAGACTGCTGTTTCTTTTGGCACACGTCACCTCAATTTAAGCTCCAGTGAGTAACTCCAAACAAAGTCAAACTGTCTAAAACTAATTTTAATCTAACTAAATCTACCTAATATATACCTGAGTGGGAATGATAGATAAATAAAAACACCTTATCTGATTTAATAGTGAGTCATTTAAGTCTTTTATCAAATGTCTGCCCATTTTTACACTAATTACCTCCCTTCAAAGTACAAGCAACAAACCCGTTATTGTACTTTAAATGGAAAACTGAGAAAAAAAGGAGCTTTGAGCTATACCGAATGGTCATTAGTAACAGTTTACAGTACACTCTTATTATAGTCTTTTTGACATAAAATAGTCCTGACTTTTTTGTGCTTTGAATATGACATCAAATAGATGTCAGTCAGCTATCAAAACAGATTGTGTTATTGATAGTGCTGTATCTACATTTAATTTTTTAATTTTTTTATTTGTCAAATTTCATGTCTAAACATAGCAATTGATCCAGATCATATTGTACTCTTGTAAACCTAAACAATTCATTTCTAGTTTAAATGTGCAAAAATTAGTTCAGCTTTGATTAGTATATGTCAAAACGTGAAAGATTTGTTTGATTTTATTTTTCAAATTCATTTGATGTGTATGTAAAAAAAATATGTTTTAACAGGTTTCTCATTAATAATGAATTTATAGTTGCATTTATTATTGGATTTAATAAAAGGACTTCTTTATAATATGAATCAATCTGCTTAACTTATTCAAGCATATTTATAAAAGGAAACGCCAGTAAGCTGAATTAAAAAGAAATTAATGCACTAAACTTCAGTTATTAAATAGAAAACAGTAAAAGCATATCAACCTGGTCCACTTCCACTGCTTTGATAAGCCGACAACTAGGAGCATGTAATTTATCTCTGATATTTTGGAGACATTGGAAAATATATCTGATGTAAAATTGCCATTATTGGTCCATAAATGTCCTTCAGTAGTCTGTTTGACACCAAACCCTATAATTGAATTATAAAAATATTGAGATTACAAGAAAATTGTCAGGAAAGTGCCAAAAATACAATTACCTGTCAACACTTAAATGACTGGTTCTGGTAGTCATAAGAAAACAGTTTACCTATCTGTATTTAGATTCTTAGATCTGTTTTATAGTCTATATAACAGTTAATTTACGGATATTGACTGATTTTATGAAGTGTTATGTAGGTACAGAAATTGGAAAATCAAAGCTTGATAGTTTCTCCCACTGAAAATTAACTATCCTAGCTATTGAAGTCACGATTTAATACTTAGATATGTAATAAAACCCTCCAAAGTAGCATAACCATGAAATGAGATCCACGACTGTGTATTGAAATGAATGTCTTTTTATCTGGTCAATTCAAACCTTTAATGGTCACCTGTAAATTTAAAAGGTGTAGCAGCCTGTTGATCCAGGTGTCAAACTTTTCATACAGGGAGATGTCATTTGAATGGTCAAGTATCACTTCATACAAAAATCTGAAATTCAATCACTTTTAATTGTGAAAGCACTCCTGGTGGTGACCGACCGAACATTTAAGAAATAAACATTTTGTTGTCAGGTCTCCAGTGAAAATCAACAAAAAAGTGTGATTGTGTTTGGCAAGCATTAATGAAAGGACATTTCTTCAATTTGAATATGTCATATTAAACTCAATTTAGTTATTTAAATGAGACAAATCTGGCAGTTTTTCCTAAAACTTATATGTTCTTGTCTTGAATTCGAAAAAAGGAGTTCTAAAATCATATCTAGTTAAACCTTATATCTGCTTTTGTCATTACTCATAGATATGACTATCTTGTATTGTAGGTAATTTTTACCCAGTACCAGTATAGTGACCAGTCATCACTACCGCCAGATGCATTGCGTAAAGCACTAGCAGAAACTTTCATGAACAAACAGCGATTTCAGCTTGGTCACATGGATGATGCAGCTGAATGTTTTGTAAGTTACGAAAAAACATTTTAGTTTTAAAATTGAATCATTGCAATTGTAGACCATGTTGTGTCTACAAAATTCAATAGTTTCAATGTTCATATTGTAAGCAATTGAAACAGAAGGCCATGTGTTATTTGCTTGTCAATATTTGACTTTAGTATTTTCTATTATATTCAAAATGAATTTAGTTCAATAAAATCATATAGTTTTATTGGAAAACAGTTCTCAAGTTTCAAAGCTTAATAGTTTGTCATATCAAAAGGGCAGATCATTAATACTGCATTAATATAGGTACATTTTATTGATTCATATGCTGTAATATATTCTCATGAAAATCATTTCATTTAAAGTAGGTATGAAATAAAAATAAATTTTAATCGTTTTTCAGGAAAACATTTTACGAAGAATTCATTTCCACATTGCTAATGCCTATCATGAAGATTCGTGTTCGGCCCCTCATTGTTTACCACACCAGAAGTTTGCCATGACTGTATTTGATCAGGTAATTCATTTCCTTTCCATAATTAAAATCTAGGTTTGGTCACACCTGACTCAGGTAAAGATTATTGATTATGGTCAGACAATTATTGAAACAGGTCATTAGTGCTAACTGAAATCAATAGACTAAAATGCAAATGGTCTGACTTAATAGGAAAAGAATTGGAATATTATTTCATTGTATCAAGTTAATTGCTGTAATATCAAACAATTTGTTTGCCAATTGTGATAAGAAGTTTTTGAACAAGGCCTTCAGATTCTGAATCAATTACAGATTGAATCCAAGCATAAAATTACTCATTCTACCTGCAAAGCAAAATTAATTTGAACAGCCTTGAATTTTTAACACTTAAATAATTCTAAATTAAATTATTAGACTTTGTGTTGCTTTTAATCTGAGTTATAATATTAAATTAATTCTTTGACAGCTTGTTTGTATCTGTGGAGCCAGTTCTGATCCTTTAACCTTCCATGAACTTGTACATTACATCTCAACGACTTCCCTTTTGTAAGTATAACAGGAGAACTTTATCCTGAACATCAAAAAGAGTTGAATAAATGCAAAACTTAAAAAGTTGCCAAAAATAGAAGGAAATATAAGTTTTATTAAACTACAAAGGGGACTAAAGTAAAGTGTACAAATGTATGCATACAGTTGTGTGGTTGTTTATTCTAAATCTTTTATGTAGAATTATTTGAATGTAATAAAATAAGTGATATTCACATGTGAGAACGTGTGAGAATAGGTCTACTTTAATATATATGAATGCACACTGCATCTTGCATGATTAAAATTTGTAATATATTCTGTTCTTTTGTTTTCTGTAAGCTTAATGAAAATAGAAGGTTTGTACATGTACTTATTCTAATATTATAAGTTACAATTTTCTTAGAAAAAAAATTGATAAACAAGTAGTTTTTTTTCTAAGAAAGCTGAATTTGATATGCTTTTTACCAAATAGTTTAAAATAAGATTGCCTTATTTAACTTTAAACAGAAAATAAGTCACTTTTAGACAAATATAGTTTGACATGATTGGTATGACATGATAAAGTCAAGAGGGATTTTAATTTTCCCCGTGACAATAATCAGTGATGGATCATTTTAATTTCATGAACAGAAAAGCCAACAAAGCATAAATCATTCTCTATGGACTTATAAGTAGATGAATTAACTTTACTAATGATGCCGTTACAGTACAAATCGGTACTTGTCTGCATGATAGCTCTAGCTACCAATACATTACCTGCCGATCACAGTTCTAATGATGATATATTGTGACTCATCTCATTTTAGACTTTTTATAAAACTTTAATGTAAGCGGCAAGGTCTTTGAATCTTTTTTAGCCATTATCAGACATTAATCTTTTTTTATCAGGGCTTTTTGTTAATTTCTCCTATTTTTTGTTATTGATTGAGGTTTACCGACTTTCCTATTGATAAGCCACCATCTTTGTCACCGGAAATATATTTCCACTTTGTCACTTGCATAATGTTTAAATGTCTTTACCTGAAATCAGCAGGTATGAACTAATAAGGCACCATAGGGAGGTTTTACCTGAAATCAGCAGGTATGAACTAATAAGGCACCATAGGGAGGTTTTACCTGAAATCAGCAGGTATGAACTAATAAGGCACCATAGGGAGGTTTTACCTGAAATCAGCAGGTATGAACTAATAAGGCACCATAGGGAAGTTTTACCTGAAATCAGCAGGTATGAACTAATAAGGCACCATAGGGAGGTTTTACCTGAAATCAGCAGGTATGAACTAATATGGCACCATAGGGAGGTTTTACCTGAAATCAGCAGGTATGAACTAATAAGGCACCATAGGGAGGGTTACAGTAACAATAGTTACACATATTTATTATACAAAGTTTGAATATAAAACAATGAGTTTGCATTGTCAATAGAATATGTAGTGTCTTTAAAATATATATTTTTTAAACTTCCACTTATTTATGCATTAATCATTTCAGATCCCATTGTCGTTCAATGCAAGAGACAGGAGATGTACTTCATCCAGATCGGTTCGGGTTATTGTTAAGGAATGCTGGGACATCAGGAGATATTAGAGATTGCCCTGTAAGAAAATTAAACATCTTAAAACATCTGCAGATGATTATTGCCTTCATGACTTATTGATTAGAATATCAATATTTATTTAAAGCAATATTTGTGATTTCGACCAGAAAAAAGAATAATGATGCATTGATTGTTACCACAGTTATAAGACTTTGAAAGTGTTATTCCTTTTTCATGATATCAAATTAAACAAAGTAATGTATTGTTAATTGAAATGATTTATTTTTAACAGGGGAACTGTGGTAAAAGAGTACAAATAAGAAGAACTTTATTGAACACTCCAGATGTTGTCAGTATTGGTCTTGTTTGGGATTCAGACAGACCTGATGAGAAACTTATCCGTGAAGTAGCTAAAAGCATTGGTACAACTATTTTGCTTCAGGATGTACGTATTCTAGTTTTTTTATGTTGCTTTTTTAAAATGTTTTTTTTTAAAAGTATAACGGAAACAAATTTTCTACAGACATATTTGACAAATTTGATATTAGAAAATCACTTTTGAAGTGAATAAATTATTCTGTAAATAAACAAATGTAGATGCAAATTAATAGAAATTTGAAAAAAGTTATTAACTTTCATTTCATGTTGAAATAGAATTTTTCATTTTTGATATCACTAAATTCATGTATTAAAACTTTATTTTGCACTTAGATGTCATATTTTTAAAATTTTCAGAGTATGTAAGAAAAAAGCAAAACTTATAATTTGTTGTTTTCTTTCAGATGTTCCATTCTGTTGTATGTAAAGATGCTTCCAAACTCCCTAAACTGCAGTTGTCTGCCTTAGTTTGTTACTATGGTAAACATTACTCCACAATTGTTTACCACACAAAGTTAAATGTGTGGATTTATTTTGATGATGCCACTGTAACTGAGGTAAATAATACTATTTGAATACCTTTATTTCTATTTCGTTAGAATCTTGTTTATAATTTCACAGCAGTGTGAATCAAAATATGATTGCCAAAAATAAAACAAGATAATATACATATTTATATTTGAGTTGGTTCTATTTGTTACAACAATTATAATAATATGCAGAGTATGCACTATTTCATATGGTATATTTGGTTTAAGATATACCAGGGACAACAGAAGTTGGTCTGAAATGTAGCTTAGATTATTAAAAATTAAGTTTTGTACGAAGATTTATACTCATTAAAACTTGTTCTCATAAGCCTTTTTTCAGTTTGGAAAGTTGACTTGTTTTCAAAATGTAAGAGATTTTTCTTAATGAATTCTATAAACTTGTCAAATTTCCAAAATTTGTGAATGACATGGGGCAAACACTGGACACTGTCCTGTAGTGGCTTTATAATCTGACTTTAATCCATTTACGCTCTTAACAATATTTTCATGACTTTCACTACTTCAATGTGTGACTTAAAAGAATGAATTGTATATATAACATGGACATTGTCCTGAAGTGACTATATAATCTAGATAAACATCTCTCAGTTGATCTCAACATATTTCTATCTTGTCCATTTTCATTCACCAGTTTTCAAATTGAATGAAAAGTTTATTAGTGTTTTTAATGTACAGAAGTAATATGATAATTGCTTGTGGCTACATGTAATAATTTAAATACATTTTTAGTAATTCAATTATCACCAAATCATACTTTAATGACTGTCTTTTTAAAAGTTTATATACATATTTGTAATCAATCCATGCATGATCCACTCCTACCTAAGTAAAAAGGTCACATACTTGTGGTGTTATATTTACATTGTTTGTCATGGTGTCTGATTTTATTGTTTTATTGGAAATTTCAGATTGGTCCAAGATGGGAAAATGTGGTTGACAAATGTTCTAAGGGAAGATACCAACCCTTATTGTTACTCTATTCCAATCACAACGCTAGTCCAATTGCTACTGAAACAGCTCCAAAGAAAAGAGTTATGGCCCCTGGTTATGCTACAACGCCTTCAAAAGGTCAGTTACGTCTTATTTGCAACTTAACAAGAAGTAACAGATATTATCTTGTCTATTGGACTGGGTAGAATTTCATAAGTTCGTAGCGTGTCAGTAAATTCTTAAGCATAATTTGAAAGCATAACTCATAACTGTCATGTACAGCTTAAATAATACTATTGTCTAACAATATTTAAGAAATATTTTGTCTTTTGTTTAAAAGTGATCATTATCATATTTAGATTGCCTATTGTAATACAGTGTTTACGATGTACTCCTGGACATGACCTCTGCATGTTGAGGCTAATAATCATTACTATTGAATACTTGTTTATGTCTTTTCTACCAAGGAAATTATACAATGGGTTTCCATAATATATTTTTGGCACAGAACAATCAAATTATGTGGGCATAAATTCAAAATTTATAATTGGCTTAACTGGTAAAACACATAATTCCTTCATTCATAATTGGATTATAGAATTAACACTTTAAGATTTGTCATGAAGTTAAAATTAACATTAGGTCATCAGTTTCTTGGGTTTGCAGTGTGGACTAATTTTGACATTGAATGCAGATTTAAATTGATAAGACTTTAAACCACACAATTCTGTACCCCATATGTTTTCTATATATCATCAAACACCACTTGGAGTTCTTTACTTCATTTTCTCACTACTTTGATGTCCCGTGGGACAGGTGTTTGCTTCTAAAAAACTCAGGTAAAATCAGTGTTCTGTTCCAGAACTTGATATGACTGTCAAAATTGACACTGGAAGATCATAAACAACAGAGGATGGCAAGAAAAAAAGATTTTGGTTAAAATTGTAGTTTTGTAGGTTCAAAGTTGTAATTCGATAAGGTTTTTGAGATAACTAGAGGTATCAGATTTCGTGTACTGAACAAAGACAAATTTGTGATGACACACCATAGAAATTCGTGACAAGATTTGTACATGCTTCAGGGACCTTGATACATTTCTCAAAATTTTGATAAATTATCTTGATATATTTTTCATGATTAAATTATATTTACTTTTATGGTCTTTTTTGTTCATTTTAGCAATTGAAAAATAAAATTACGAAGTGTCAATTGTAGGTCATATAAAATGTATAGTAGTAGTGTTTAATTTGTACTTTTGGTATCCAAAACTTTTTGTATAGATATGACCATGATGAAAACCATTAGTCATAACTAAAGCAAAAGTTGATGACTACTTAAGGTTTAAGAAGGTACAATTTAACGTTAAAACAATAAAGGTATTATTCAGGCAAACAAAAAAGGTGAAAAAGGTATTGATTACCTGATCTTAGTCAGGTGTTTAAAATCATCAGTAAACACAATGTAGAGCAAACACAATAAATCATGATTTTATGTCTTTATGACAAATCTGTTACTTGATAGGAAACATTGTTTCCCTAGTATAACAAGTAAGATGGTCTCTTTTGTGGCTTTTCAATAGCCTATTCAAGCTTTTAAGTATTCATACAATATACATGCATGTGGTTTGAGGGATAGCTATACAACATAAAAAGCTTTATGTTGTCTTTGTCTTTTATTAATAGGTGTCCAAGAGAAGAAAAGACAAGAAAATGATGGACAAAAAGCATCCAGACGATCTTTAACTCCTAATCCTGATAAAATTGAAATGAGTCATTCAAATGGAAGGAGAGCAATAACTCCAGGTCCTGACGAATTATCCCCAGATCTTAATGGACCCCAAAAAATGAACATTGATCACCATCGTCAGTCTAGCTTTTTAATAGCTGTTACTGGCAAGACTGATAAAAACCGGCAGTATTCTTCCGAGTACGCTGTGCCTAAAGGAATCAATCCAATCAAACAATCTGTCCCAGGTGGAGGACAGACTGACATGTCACAAAGACAGGGAATGCTCAAACACTGTTTTTATGAACCTTCAAATGCTGAAAAGCAGCAATTCCAACAGAAATCTAATCAAGATGCTGTAGATGGTTATGATTACACCTTATCAACGAGTGATCAGTACAGAAGACCCACAATCACAGCACCCAAACCAAACAATCTTCCAATTCAAGTTAACTTTTCTCGAGTAAATGACTGTCAGAGAAAAGAAAGCTTCAAGAAAGGAAAAGATAAAGTGAGAGCCGATGTCATTAGAAGTTTGGATCCTTCACGGAGGGAATCTCAGTCTTCCGATTCTGATTCACCACAAACTCCACCACTTCTTCCACCCCAGCTTCCACCTAAAATCAGTAGAAGTCAGTCTTGTCACAACTATGATCTTGAATCAGGTCCAGCTAATATATCTGCTGATAATATTGACATTCGACAGCATGTAGTCATGAAACCTAGACCAAGCAATTCACATGCGTATGAAAACTTAGAAAATTCTTCACATACACCTGTGCAATCAGGACTTGCTACACTTCCACGAAACAAAAAATCTAATTCTTCAGTGCAATCTCAAAGTCAGCATTCTCGTCAAAATTCATTAAAGAGCAATGATGGCTATCCGCCACACAATCGTCCAACATCAGGACAAGAAATGAACAATATGTATCATACTGTTGGGTATTCACAGCAGGTATCACATAGTAGGGAAAGTTCTAGTAATACTATTGTGCCTGATGATGTACATTCCAGACAAAATTCATTAGCCAGTCAAATTTCAGATAATTCAAAACATTCATTGTCATCTTGGCAACAGGGCAGCAATAACCAATCAGTGTCTCAATATAGAAATCAACCATCTGTTTCATCCAATCAGAGGCTTCCAGAGGATAAACCACCAAAACCTGCAAAACCAGAGAAGAAAATTAATACTGTTGCAGCACAGAAAAAGAAGAGTATGAATAGTAGAGGACAACAGCCTCCCCCATTACCTGAGAAAAAGGGTAGTAAACTGAGCAATTCGTCCCCAAATCATGAGAGTTATATAAACAGAAAAACTGTAGAAAATATTTTATCGTATCAGAAATTATCACGACAAGGATCAACCAATAGTAACATGAGCTGCGCAAGCATATCAAGTAATGCAAGTACAGCCAGCAATACAAGTTTTGAATCAGACAATTGTAGCTTAAGTTCAAAAGAAGGAAACATTCCTTTTGACAGACTGTCTTTGGAATCACGACAAGATTCAGGGTATAGTGGGAGTGACAGAAATAGTTCCAGTTCAACTGGCAGCACTACCTTAGATCCTTACACGCAATACTTCCTCAGTAAAAGTATGATTCCTCCTAAAACATTCAATCAGCAAGCTGTGGCAGAAAACATAAAGAAATTTATTGATCCTGGCTATGGAGAAAACCAACGCTTTGATCAGAAGTACACTGTTGGGTACCAAACTAATAGTTTCCATGGAAACCAGCAACAGCAGAATCAGCATTATCAGAGAGGATATGAACAATCTGGTGACAGAAAACAGTTGTATGATCCTGCCATTGTCAAGTCACATCAGTCTAAAGGTTAGAGATTATATTATTAAGCATGGATAGAGATTATATTATTCAGCTTATGTATTGAACTTACCTTTGATTGAGTCTCATAATTTTAACTATGGGTACTCAATTTGTGAGAATATAATTGGCAAATTTTACAATAAATGACTACTCTAAAAATGAAATTGGAGTATACAAATTTGATAGAAATCAAAACAATTTCTTCTCTATGAACATGCTTTTAAATTAGCCTATAATAGAAACACACCCTATAATTTATTTAAAATTTTGACTGTAATTAGCCATGTTTTGGAAATAAATCTATCATAACCAATAATTTACATGTATAGAATTATAATTTATGATGATAATTATTAAAAACCAGCTGGTGTTGGCATTGTGCCATGACAGACCACAAATTAATTGATCAAAATTATCTACATTTATTGTATGTATTTTAACTGTCATTTGATAACTGGTGTGTACCTTATAAATTATAGAATGGTATAATTTAAATACTATTAAATAGAAACAAACCAGGTATTTTAATTGCGTTTTAAACTTCCATGGTCATATTTAATATGATACATGTCTTAAGCCTTTCATAATATGTGTAGGTTGTATATTTCCAAAGTGTCTTTGTCAAAGTGTTCATTGAAAAAAGTTGTTCGGTTATAAAAAGATTAAGTCAATAAGAAGATTATAGGAAGGAGTGTATAGGGCAACACATGTACCGTAGTAATAAAAACTTTAATCAAAGACTATAATAGTAGGAGAACTATATTAAGATGATTATAGCTGATAATGTAGTACATTTTTATTGACAATCATTACATATTTATTGATCATGATTTATATTCGGTCAATTGAAATGTTTCAATCTTTCTTCTTAGCTTTAATAAAGAGAAATAACAATTTTTTTTAGATACCATGGGACATCCGATGCACCAAAATTTGGATCCTAATAACCAAGAACGTAATTCAAAAAACTGTGATAACCAGATGTTCATACAGAGCGGACCACCTGGTTATGATGAAGGTATATATACCAGCATTTTGGTTGATAACTTAGTGCGCCTGTGTCTTTGACATGAAGAACAGCATAAAAAAGCTAGATCTTTGTTTTTGGTTTTGTCAAGTGCATTAAGGGATTTTTTCCCTGAATTTTATACACCATATGATTTGTTTCCGTTTACAGAATTTAGAAATTCCTCCTTTTTAACTGTTTATCATTTATTGGGAAAAATATGCTGGGAGGTACATATTATCCATCTGACAAATTTGAGTATATATAGTTTTCAATGTTTCTGCTTTCAAATATGAGTATATTATATGTCTGATTAATACACGGGATACTAACTAAAACTGATATTAAACAATGCTATAGTATTGTAACTGAAACAAGTTTTTATCTTTTTCATTATTCATAAGTTATTATTGCCATAAAAAAAAATATCCAGAAAATTGGTGATCAGTTATAACATTATTCTTGCAACAAAATCGTAACTCAGTTGTATAGAAGGGTTAATACAATAGTTACTCATATACAATAAATTTTGCATCTGAAGAACGTTTTTTCCATCTTTCTTTCCAGTGGTTTCTTTTAGCATTGAAGAATTTGCATCTCTGTGCCACAAGTCTGAGGACTACATGGATCAATGTATGTTGTATGAGACAGACAGCAACTGTCACCAGGCCATTCAATACTGTAATTCGGCCATTGACTGCCTGAAACAAGCCATGAAGATGACCAATATTTCCCACCAGTCCTATCAGTTTGCACAAATGAAACACAATTCTTGTATTCTGAAGCTACGCAGCTTGCAGAAGAAAAATATGTTTCGACAAGAATCCAATTCATCGACGAACAGCTCTGACAGCGCTAGATCTTCCCCATGTGGTTTACCAAATAGGTAAGGAAAGACAAATTAAAATAATTAATTAATCTAAAAAAAAAACATTCAAAGCATTCTTGTCAAAAACCTGTTATGAATACTACATCAATTGCATATAAATGTCACAATTGAAAATGCATAACTTAAACAAGGCACGGAAACAGATAAAAACTATAGTGACATGAAGGCTATTCAAATTAATGTACATGTAATTATTTTATATGGTTGTTCAATTTTATTGGTTTTGCACTGCTTTTAAAACATTCTGTTTTTTTGTATATTTCAGTTCATCAAACATTCAACACCCTCCACAACAAAGTTCACAAAATGTTGTTCACTCACGATCAAGTTCTCGAGATTCAATTGACAGTGTAATTGAAAATAAAAACTATAGAAAAGACAAAGTTAACAATGAAATTGATGGTCAAAAGTTGTTACATTCTAATTCTAGTCATAGTTTGAATGAAAGGACTTGTAGTAGTGTCGATACTAGCAATGTTGATATGTATGCTACATTACCCAGAAAGGGAAGACAACTTGCTATGAAGAATCAAAATAGTCAGAACTCTGAACTGTTTAAAAACTGTTTGAATAGACAGCAAAGAACTAATTCTCCAAGTATTCATCAACCTTCATCAAGATCAAGTACACCATCATCAGAATGTCGTGATTCAGACTCCAGTAGTCAAGCATCAGATCAGTATCGTATGCAGATTCCATCTCATCAACAAGTCAAAATGAACAAAGCTGAAATCAGACAATTACCACATAATAGCATGGTTCAGCGCCAAGGAAACCAGCAGTCTAATGGAGGAATGGTATCCCAGCATCAACAACATGTTCACGGGAAACCATTACCTGAGGTTTGTAGAACTAGGATAACACCAGCGTTATCTGCCAAGTCACAACCAATTGTGCCGCCCAAACCAGGAATAGTTGTTGAGCCTTCATCTGGAGGTCAACCAACCAACCAAGGGCAAGGCATGATGGGAAAAGTGGAAAACACATCATCACCATCTGCTGTTACATGTAATAAAATTAAAAAGGCCAGCGTGATGAGACATGCCAGTTTTGCTGGTTTAAGTAGTAGTGGCAATAGTGCTGTGAATGCTGCTGCCACTTTAGATCGTTATGCTTGTCAGCAAAACCAGACAATAGCTCGCTCATATATACAGTCTAATATAGCAGGTACTAACCCTTCCCCATCTTCAGTACAAACAGTTGGTCTGCAAAAAAGAAAAAAAAGGTTCTGCTTCTTTTACTTATTTCTGTTTGTTAACTCCTTGGAAAAGATAATTTGTCAAACTTTTTATTTTGTCAGATAATTAAAAATTTCACAGTGCTACAAAAAATTTGTAAGCTTTAGAAAAAGACATTTAGAATAATGAATTGGCTTTGTAACCAACTGGTTGTATCTATTTTATTTTTAATTCCTTTCAATACCTTCAATTGGTTAAGATAAAGTTAAGACATGTCAGATATGATTTTTTTTTAATCAGATAAATATAATTATACTTTTCATCATTTCTTTCATAATCATTAATGCTAGAGCTTTTGTGCTTGCTACTTAAAGATACTTCACATATAAACACCTACTAATTTGTCATTGCTACTTCAGAATGGGGATATTTCTTAATCATTTTTATAACAACCTCTAACAAATAAGTAAGGGTTAAAATGAAGAAAAAAAAATAGATAACGCTTTGAATTAATTATTATCTTTCTTCTGTAAAAATCAATGTTCAAATAATACTTTGATTTCAAAATTGAGATTAAGTAAAGTTCTTTTAGGCCAGAGTTTTTTGTTCTATAGTTATCTGTTTTTTTAATTTCAAAAGACTTTCCATAAAGTGTGCACAAACTTGTTAGAACTGTTCAATTTAGATAGCTTCCTAATCGGTTTTACCATAATTCTTTAACCAAAGCACTCAATACAAATCTTTTGTTGCAGTATAAATTTTGAAGGTCATTAAATCATGTCGACATTACGTATTTTGGACCCAGTAAATTATTTAATTTTCTAATCAACAGAGTGTAGTATGACTTAGCATGTTGAAAATTTCTTAAGAAAATAATTTAGTGGGGGTAAATCTCTACTTCTTTTTCATTTTAGATTTAAACGTTCTAATCACTTTTGATCGTAGTTTTAAATAAATATTTTTGAAATGGATGAAAACCCATCATTTTAATAACATCGTGAATATATACTGTCCTGGGGACGGTTTTAAAGATCTTTACAGATGAGTAACTTCACTGTACAAACAAACGCCAATGTATTCATCTTGTGACCTCATTTCCACATAGAAAAAATATTTACCTTTATGTCGGCAAACTTTATACTTACCTGTACATCATATAATATTCTTTTTTGTATTTGTCCCTCACATAAATTTTTTATACATTAAAATATTTACATAAATTTAAGTTATATATTAAAAGGGGAATCAAAAATAGATCATGTAAGAATAAAATTAATTAATAAGAAAATCTGAATATTTTTTTCATACAGATAATGTAAGCAGTAAAAGTGATTACCCTAAGGAATGTTTTTTTTTCATAAAAATAATTTAAGCAGTAAAAGTTATTACCCTAAGGATTTTTTTTTTTTATGAAAATAATTTAAGCTGTAAAAGTGAATACCCTAATCTAATTTGGTTTTGCTTTATGTAACTATGACATGGTTATTTATATATCCTAATATTGTTTTTCTTTTCTCCCTAACCAAGATAACGCTATGTAACTATGACATGGCTAGTAATATATCCTAATATTGTTTTTATTATCTCCCTAACCAAGATAACTCTAGAGGATGTACTAACACACCTGTAAGTATCCAGTTTATGAGTTATTTCCCCTTTGTACAATACATTGGTCTAGCTTTGTCCACTACTTGATGTTGTGATTTGTGAGGGTTAAGGATTTGTGTTGCTTTAGGGATTGGCAGACTGGTGAAGGGAAATGAAATAGTTGAAGTCACATTTAAGTTTTAGCACTTTTGTCCCATTTAAAAATATGTAAATCTGGCTATGAATTTCAAGCAGTAGCTGAATGTTCAACTGTCAACACTCAAATTGAAAACGTCAGAAAAGGTAAACATGTTTGTGAAATAAGCAGAAATATTTCAAATATGATTTGCTAAATGATGTGATAAACTTTTGAAAGAGTTGTATATCTTTTGATAAGTAATAAAATATCCATTAGTGATATGAGGGTAATGACACACAGGTGTTCAACCTTGATCATCATCCCTTTGAACTTAAGGTAAAAATAAAATCGTAGAACCTTCAAAATTAAAGGGTTATAAAATGCTAAAAATTATTTCAGAACATTTAAATAATTTTTATATGAAAAATAATTAATCTACTATTGTGAAGTAATAAAAGAGGGACTGGGAACTAAAATCTAAATCCACTTATAAAATTGGATAATTTAATAATAAAGTAAAGAAGGTATAACCTTTTCCTTTTGAATCTTGTAAATCTTCAGTTAAATAATTTCGATGAGAATTTTTTTTTTTAATTTTATCTGTAATCAGTGTTTTTATTGATTTCTAACTTTTATCAAAAACCATGAAAACACTTTTATCAAATTATTATTTCATTTACAATGTAAACATACTTTTTTTATTGTGTAAAATGAAACTACAGACTCCTAGTAGGAAAACAAACTTCTTTTTACCGTGACTTGTAACCTCTTGTTAATTTAAAACTGGCTGACGCCAAAAACAGATTAACGGTTTTGTTCTCACAATAGATCGATTGTTTGACGTAATACTGCATCTGTAATTTGAGACTTTATCAATAGTCTGGGATGTCGCACCATTTTGCAAATAAATAAACACACAAATCTATTCTTTCTTTCATCCAAATGCATATATATAATAAATATAGTATTGCTGTTGGCAGGTAATGCTTCAGTTCCTGCAATAGGTTAAAAAACATTAAAAAGATTAATTTCGATATTGTAATTTTCAGTCTCAAAATAGGTAAATCTGAAACCATTCACCATGACCTATAGATGCTTTTGAATTTAAAGGACATATTTAGTTTACTCTGGAAATAGTTATGTAGGTTTGTCAGAACTGCATTGTCATCATCATATTACTTACATCTCTGAGTGTGTTACTAGTAAATAAATACCATCAAATAAATAAATACAAATATTTGTATTAAGATGAAAGCTGCTTTGTCATCCAGTAAGCTTTAGTGGTAGCTGCTGATTGCTAACAACTTGGTAGGTTCTCTTAATTTGTGATGTATAAAATGAACTCCCATGATAAAAAGTTTAATGAGATGAAGAAAAAAAATAATGCAAAGTCATATCCATTTTAATAATTCCTCAGTTTGTCTTAAGGCTGCATTGCACTTAGATTATATCCACTATTTTTATAAACAGTCATGCTTTGATTGATTGAGATCAAAGAATTAATAAAAGAAATGACTTTTTTAGTATCAATTAAAGTAAAAGTAACAGTTGACTTATTTTATCTGATGAAAATCTATAATATGAACATTTTGATGTATCATCAAACCACTAATGATACATTGTGCTACATGCAAATGTTTTAGAGGGAATTTTCTGTTTATTTTATATAAAAAGATCACTCTCAGTTTCTAAAATAAGGAAGACTTGAGATAAAAAATTATCAGCTGATTGAGAATTAAATTAATAGAATGTCATAGAAGTTGGAGGTTTTGACTCTATGAAATCTTATTCAATCCAATTCTGATGTTTTTAAAAATACCTCTTTCAGGTTATAAATATAAAAATCAGTCTCCAATTATTCCAATGTTAATTACTTTTAAAATATTTCTAAAATTTATCAGTATGCACAGAAATTGATTTTTAATACATTTTTTCTGTATTCCTTGAAATTTTACTTCAAAAAATTTATTTCCCTCATTAATAAAAGCAATAAATGTGAACTTGTCAGATTCATTGCACAAGTTCAGTGCATATCTATGTACAAATAATATACATCAACTAATGAAATCATACCTTTCCATATATAACCAACATCTTACAGTTGGATCATCATTGTACTTTGTTTTCTGGTCTTACTTACTGTATACATGTATATATGAGCACAGCATATTGTTTGTATGTTGGCAAGGGGTTATCTCCCTTCACATGTGTCACAGCAGATGGTGATGGTATCAGTGTTTGGCAGTAGTGCCTAGAGCTTCAGTCTATTTTGCCTTTTATATGTTTCATAACATTTATTTAATATATTTAACATTTCTATTTTGATATTTCTTAGAAGCCATTTAATTTTCTGTCTTATCATTTGTTAATAAAAAGTGATTTAGTCATTCACTAATGTTCAAGAGAACTTGTTTCACTAATTTCCCACTTGCTAACAGTAACTTGTGAGTTTAGAAAATTTGAAATCATTTTTTTGTCAAATCTCTATTTTTAATTTTGTCTTTTATGACTGCAATATGTGGTTAATTATCACAAGTTAATGGAAAAAAATCTTTGTTAATTTCAGAAATCGATGGAATTACCATTACAGCAGTTTAACCAACGTGTTCAAAACTTGCCAGAACAAATGTCAGACAATGAAGATGTTCGTCCAAGTGTAAAGGCTCTTGCATCACGCTTTGATAGATCTGGTCGTAAGTCAAAAACCACTACACAACTGCCACCGATGAACTCAAATCTGGACAATAGACACAGAAGTAAATCAGAATCAGACTTTCTAAGAATGGATTCAAAACCTAAATCGGTTTTATCGAAAAGAAAGAAATGTAAAGCAAGTCGCCCAAGGAAATCAGTGACATTTTCAGAAAATATTGCCATGGTTTCTGCCACAGATTATATAACAGACACTGATTTGTGTTCAGGGTATGTGAGTGATTCGGATGAAAAATATAAATATCAGCGTGGTGCTTATTCAGACAATGAGTTAGACGATGATGACTCTAACTCAACTGAGTCCCCGGCAGATATACATCCTGGTCAGAGTTGTTGTTGTCTATGTAACAAACATGGTTGTGGACAAGGATCTCAGTTTTGTGCAAAATGTCAGTTATATATGAGTCGGTTTCAACCAAGTGAATGCTGACAAAACGATTTCAGTGACATCAAATCAGCATTATTTCATGTATGAAATATTTATTGAGAGACTACAAATAAAATAGACATTTATTTTTGTTATTGGATATTGTAAATAAAAGTAATTTTATTTATTTATTCTACAAATGTGAATTGTAGAATTTTCAAGTAATTTTTTTTTTCTTGAAGGCAGCTTTGCTCATAGTGCTAATTTCACCTTCTATGTATATTGAATTCTAGCAATAGATGTTTTATCTACTGTTTTGGTAGAATTTTTTTCCTTTTTTACTGCTGATAAATGTTTTCCCTTTTTTAGATATATTATTTTAGAAAGATTTAAGCAAAACTACTTTATTTTAGTTTAATATATTTTATCCAAGAAAAAAACAAGAAACACAGTTCAGCTCTTAATATGAACATGTTTCTTATTTATTTATGTTTCTGTGATAAATTAAGTTTTTTTTTTGTTTTTTTTTTTTGGCATAAGAAGTTTGAAACAAAGTATTTTTAGAATTACAAATTTTTATAAATTATTATTGTAGATATGAAGATTTGTTGTAACAGCCCTTCTTTCAAAAATGGTTTAATTTCATTCCTATATCATTATCCAAGCTAATACTGCCAGACAAGTACCATTTATGTTGTTGTTTATTGTTATGGATAATGTCAAATTTTTATGAGATGAAAATATTTTCATAGATTTTTATTGACTGTCTCAATTTGTGTTTAATATGAAAGGGAGACAATCCCCATAAACTTACATTACATTTAGATCTAGTCAAACATTTCCTTCTTTTTGTATTGATATATCTCTGTAAAAGGTAAATTTGATATTTAGATTAGATAATGGGATATTGATTCCCATCAAACCAAGGTTGTCTTTTTCACTTTCGTTTCGAAACTTCTTCTCTAGTATTTCGGTTTCTTGGAAAGACAACTAATGAAATTAAAAAAATGAATATGCAATTTAGAAATATTTTCTCAACACTTATTTTGTAGTTATAGGATGGATTCCGTCCATTTTGGGAAAGGTTAGTGGTATAGAAAATATACAGTTTTTTTTTCAAATGTGAAAAATAAAGCTTTGGCTTACCTATGGATAAAATTAAAGGTCATATTCATAAAAACATTTTAAGAATTATTTTGGACATAACTTTCAAAAATGTACATTTCATATGTGCAACATAACTTTTAGGAATATTAATAAGACTTTCAAAGAATTTTTATTTTTTCATGCATTTAATGTTGTTAAAAATCATGCATTTTTATAAAGTTGTTTTAAATTGTTAAGATTGTGAATTTGTTAACATGTTTTATGAAACTGCCAGTTTTTCATTTGTTACCCAATTGTGATCTCATTTTAAAAGAAATTTATAACAAGAAATTAAATGTAAATGTTAATGGTTTGTATATATAGATAGTAGACCTAGATAATCATGTTTATAAAAAACTTCTTTTATGTTAACATTGTTCCATTGAATACAGAGTTAAACTCTTTATCATCAATAGAATACATATCATTTGTATCAAAATAAAAACAAATTATGAAACTTGCTTGTTCTATTTCATTATTAACACGAATTCAGCAAAGTACAAAGTTTAAATATATGCAAAACAAACAGAAAAAAACCCAATATGATATACATTCAAGAAGAAAGAAGATAAATACACATATCCCAAGTCAGGAGCCTGTAACTCAGGAGCCAGTTACTCAGGAGCCTGTAACTCAGGAGCCTGTAGCTCAGGAGCCTGTAACTCAGGAGCCTGTAACTCAGGAGACTGTATCTCAGGAGCCTGTAACTCAGGAGCCTGTAACTCAGGAGCCTGTAACTCAGGAGACTGTAGCTCAGGAGCCTGTAACTCAGGAGCCTGTAACTCAGGAGCCAGTAACTCAGGAGCCTGTAACTCAGGAGCCTGTAGCTCAGGAGCCTGTAGCTCAGGAGCCTGTAACTCAGGAGACTGTAGCTCAGGAGCCTGTAGCTCAGGAGCCTGTAACTCAGGAGCCTGTAACTCAAGAGCCTGTAACTCAGGAGTTGCTGTTGGTTGCTGTCTGCCTTATTTGTTTTTCATTTATCTATTATAGTATTAATCACGTTGTTGGTTTTCTCTTTTGAATTGTTTTACATTTTGTCATGTCAGAACTATATATGGTGATGGGCCTTGCTCATTGTTGAAGGCTGTACAGTGCCCTATGGTTGTAAACATAGTAATCCTTTGGTCTCTGGTTGATTAATGTCTCATTGGCAATCATACAATATCTCCTTATTTGCATATAAGAAAACATGACTGTAGCAAGGTAACATCATGTGTTTTGTTTCTATGTTAATCTTGAAAAACAGTAGGATGATAACATATTTGATTATTTCAAGCTTGGTCTTCTAATATAGCTTGGTAGCAATTAATGTGATATTAAAAAAAAGAAATGTTGGATAAATGTCAATGAGACAGCAACCCAACACCACAAAAAACTAAAAGACATCTAGGGTTAACTCAACCTTAAGTCCGACACCTTAACTATTCACTGCTCTTTGTACCTTCATTAAGCATAGAAATTCCTTTACAGATTGGGAATTTCTCACAAACCACCTCCAGAAGTCAATAAAATGTTCAAGATATTATCATAATTGCTCTGAAATATAAAACAGGATTTAGTTACTGGTCTGGCCTTTAAGAGAGCCACTTATGCCCTTCACTCGGACACCACAAATAACATGTCTAAGAAAATGGACTTAAAATTAATGTATCGTATTGACTTTTACAATAATCATTTGTCACTGGAAGAAAAGTTGAGATCCTGTTGATACCTGCCTATAAGTCAGACATTCAGTGTTCGACACAAGGACATCAAAGCAGCCGAAAATGTCAGGTTTCATGCTTGGTCTATGAATGCTGCATGATAACAACATATAACAGACGGGATCAGGTTTCATGATTGGTCAATGAATGCTGCAGGATAACAAGATAACAGTTGTGATCGGGTTTCATGCTTGGTGTATGAATGCTGCAGGTTAACAACATATAACAGATGGGATCAGGTTTCATGATTGGTCAATGAATGCTGTAGGATAACAAGATAACAGTTGTGATCAGGTTCCATGCTTGGTGAATGAATGCTGCAGGTTAACAACATATAAAAGATGGGATCAGGTTACATGATTGGTCAATGAATGCTGTAGGATAACTAACAGTTGTGATCAGGTTTCATGCTTGGTGTATGAATGCTGCAGGTTAACAACATATAACAGATGGGATCAGGTTTCATGATTGGTCAATGAATGCTGTAGGATAACAAGATAACAGTTGTGATCAGGTTCCATGCTTGGTGAATGAATGCTGCAGGTTAACAACATATAAAAGATGGGATCAGGTTACATGATTGGTCAATGAATGCTGTAGGATAACTAACAGTTGTGATCAGGTTTCATGCTTGGTGTATGAATGCTGCAGGTTAACAACATATAACAGATGGGATCAGGTTTCATGATTGGTCAATAAATGCTGCAGGATAACAAGATAACAGTTGTAATCAGGTTTCATGCTTGGAATATGAATGCTGCAGGTTAACAACATATAACAGATGGGATCAGGTTTCATGATTGGTCAATGAATGCTGTAGGATAACAAGATAACAGTTGTAATCAGGTTTCATGCTTGGTGTATGAATACTGCAGGTTAACAACATATAACAGATGGGATCAGGTTTCATGATTGGTCAATAAATGCTGCAGGATAACAAGATAACAGTTGTGATCAGGTTTCATGCTTGGTGTATGAATGCTGCAGGTTAACAACATATAACAGATATAATCAGGTTTCATGCTTGGTGTATGAATGCTGAAGGTCAACAACACAGAACAGATGGGGTCAGGTTTCATGATTCGTCTATGAATGCTGCAGGATAACAACATAATGGCTGGGTCATGTTTCATGATTGGTTTATGAATGGTGCAGGATAACAACATAATGATTGTGGTCAGGTTTCATGATTGGTCTATGAAAGGTGCAGGATAACAACATACTGATTGTGGTCAGGTTTCATGATTGGTCTATGAATGTTGCAGGATAACAACGTGTAACAGATGGGATCAGGTTTCATGATTGGTCAATGAATGCTGCAGGATAACAAGATAACAGTTGTGATCAGGTTTCATGCTTTGTGTATGAATGCTGAAGGTACACAACAAAGAACAGATGGGGTTTAGGTTTCATGATTCGTCTATGAATGCTGCAAGATAACAACATAATGGCTGGGTCATGTTTCATGATTGGTCTATGAATGATGCAGGATAACAACATAATGATTGTGGTCAGGTTTCATGATTGGTCTATGAAAGGTGCAGGATAACAACATAATGATTGTGGTCAGGTTTCATGATTGGTCTATGAATGGTGCAGGATAACAACATAATGATTGTGGTCAGGTTTCATGATTGGTCTATGAAAGGTGCAGGATAACAACATACTGATTGTGGTCAGGTTTCATGATTGGTCTATGAATGTTGCAGGATAACAACGTGTAACAGATGGGATCAGGTTTCATGATTGGTCTATGAAAGGTGCAGGATATCAACATAATGATTGTGGTCAGGTTTCATGATTGGTCTATGAATCCTGCAGGATAACAACATATAACAGATGGGATCAGGTTCCACGATTGGTCTATATAAAAATAAGGAGATGTGGTATTATTGCCAATGAGACAACTATCCACCAAAGTTCAAATGAAGTGGATGTAAGCAATTATAGGCAACTGTACAGCCTTCAACAATGAGAAAACCCATACCATATAGAAGGCTATAAAAGGCCCTGACATGAAAAATTTGAAACATTTCAATTGAGAAACCAACGGCCTAATTTATAACAAAACAATTTACGAAAAAACAAATATGACGGACATGAACCAACAACAACCACTGAACTACAGGCTTCTGACTTGGGACAGACACATAAAGTATGTGAGGGGGGTTAAACAAGTTTGTGAGCGCTCAACCCTCCTCTAACCTGGGACAGTGGTGTTCCAGCATAACATAAGAACAAACTAGACAAATCAGTTGATAAGGGCTTAACTTGTCAGATCGATACAATGCAGAAAAACATCTAACACAAACACAGACTGGATGAGGCAGGGTATTTATACGTCCCTAACATAAAAAAAAGACACGAAGTACAGATCTGAGAGTACTCGCAGTTACTGACAGCTAGTTCAAAGCCAATAGCAACTAACAAAAATAAAAAAATAAAAATGGTGCAGGATAACAACATAATGATTGTGATCAGGTTCATGCTTGGTCTATAATACTGCAGGATAACAACATAATGGCTGGGTCATGTTTCATGATTGGTCGATGAATACTGAAGGATAACAACATAATGGTTGTGATCAGGTTTCATAGTTAGTCTATGGATGCTGCAGGATAACAACATAATGGTTGTGATCAGGTTTCATAGTTAGTCTATGGATGCTGCAGGATAACAACATAATGGTTGTGGTCTCGTTTCATGCTAGGTCTATGAATGCTGTAGGAAAACCAAAAAAGAGATGTGGTGCTTGTTTTTTTAATGCTGCTGGGTAACAAATTAAATGAGGAGGCCATGTTCCTTAAATTGTCTTTATGGATGATGTAGGATTAGTTGTTTTCAAATTTCATACTTAAGCTGTAAATGCTGTAGGATAGAAATCTATTAAATGTAGTTAATTTCCATGCTTGGTCTATAAATGATGTAGGATAACTGTGAGCCAAAATTTGTACCTGTGAAAAAAGTTGCAGTGGAACTAATATCACAGGAAATATGTTCTGGGAGAACTTTTTTCACAGATGATATCTATATAATTTGTTCCATCTCTATAAAACAAGTTCCACACTTTACCTGGTGAAATAAGTACCGGTTGGTGAAATTTGTTCCTTACCTGGTGAAATAAGTTCCGGGTTTATGAGATTTGTTCCTTATCTGGTGATATAAGTTCTGGGTTTGTGAGATTTGTTCCTCACCTGGTGAAATAAGTTCCTTGTCTGTGAAATATGTTCCATTGGTTAAACAAGTTATCTTATATACTGAGCATTTGTCATCAGTGAGTTTAAAGTTATCATTCAAGTGCATTATAAAAATAAGTATTATATCAATAATAAAAAAAGTAAAAAGTGTGAATCATCCAATTCGGATCCTGTCGAGTATAGCAAATGTTTAATTGTATACTCCGTAAAAAATATCAAAATGACACTTTTCAGCCAGAAAAGAGTAGAATAAGAAAAATCAATCACTCAGAAAAAAAGTATAGTTAAAGATGAACATATGTACTTATTTGAAAAGGACAAAGTGACTGATCAGTTATATCAAAAGACATGTAGAAACAAAAGACACACTCTTTTGAAACTGTAATATGACCTAATTACATGTATGACTAGAACACGGGGCCATGACAGTTAACAAAAACCAAGGAGGAATACCACATAAAACATAAATACAAATTATGATACATTACAATCGCTTTTATTTCTTATCTTCATCCTTTAGTTACAGTCATGCCTTCAATTGCAAATGTATTCCATGCAAGCACACTCAGTACAGCACTCAGCTTGCATTATAATCTAAATGTAACAAGAAAATGTTTCGCTTGCAATTTGTTGCAAAGGTACTTATTTTCTGTGAAAATAGGTTTAATGAACTTATTCATTGATTTCGATGAAATATGTACACGTTCGTTTAAAACAAATATCACAGGAACTTATTTAACTTTTTAAAACTCTTAATATTAATTGGAACAAAATTCATAGAGCTATGATTTTTGTTCCGGAACTTATTTCACATTTGGTCATAAAATTAGTTCCGGAACAAATTTTACAGTGCTGGAACATATTTTCTGTGATATAAAGTCCGGTGGAACATCCTATGAAATTTGTTCCGGCGGAACAAATGTCACGCCGGAACAAATTTTTTGTTACATAACAACATCGCAGATGTGGTCAAGTAACATTTTTGATCAATTAATGCTGCAGTAAACAAGATCAAGGTTGTGTTCAGATTACATGCTTGTTCTATGAACACTGTTTGATAACAAGAAAACGGTTGTGTTCAGATTACATGTTTGTTCTATGAACACTGTTTGATAACAAGATAATGGTTGAGTTTAGCTTTCATGATATATCTTTGAATGCTGCAAAGTAACAACATTACGATTGTGGTCAGGTTTCAAGTTTGGTTAATGTGGTCAGGTAGCATACTTGTTCTTTGAATACTGCAGAGTAACAACATAACATTTCTGGTTAGATGTCATACTTGTTCTTTGAAAGCTGTAGAATAACAACATAACATTTCTGGTTAGATTTCATACTTGTTCTTTGAATGTTGCAGAGTAACAACATAACATATGCAGTCAGGTTGCATGCTTGTTCTTTGAAAGCTGCAGAGAAGTAACATAACATTTGTGGTTAGATTTCATACTTGTTCTTTGAAAACTTCAGAGTAACAACATGACAGATGTGGTCAGGTTTATGAATGTTGCAGGATAACAACATACTAGTAATGGTTGAGTTCAGGTTTCATGATTGGTTTTATGAATGCTGCAGGATAACAACATAATGTTTGTGATAAGGTTTCATGATTAGTCCATGAACGCTGCAGGATAATAGCAACAGATGTTGTCAGGTTTCATGATTGGTCTATGAATGTTGCAGGATAACAACATATTACAAATGGGATCAGGTTTCTTGATAGGTCTATGAATGCTGCAGGATAACAGCATAACGGTTGTGATCTGGTTTCATGATTTGTCTATGAATGTTGTAGGATAACAAGATAACCGGTGTAACCTTGTTCTTTGAATGCTTTAGAGTAACAATATAACATATGTGGCCAGGAAGCATACTTGTTCTTTGAATACTGCAGAGTAACAACATAACATATGTGGTCACGTTACATGCTTGGTCTATGTTTGATAACAAAATAACAATACCTTTTCTGATGTTTCAATACATCATTGATTCGAATTCCAGAGGCGCTGGGAACCTTCTTGCAAGGAAGACATTTTAAGAACATCATAAAATGAGATAACTTAGCTAGACCTTCCATGAATATCTAAACACGACTTGGAATAGAAATATGAAAGAATTTTTGTTAATAAATTAACGTTCTAAGGGAGATAATGCTTATGCAAATTTGTACATTATATATTATCCGCTTTTCAATGATTTAAAATTCAAACAACATTTTGGTTATGAAAATTTTATTTCTTTGGTTTAAGAACTTTGATTTACGTATAACTGCTCATAAGTCCTGTAACTTGTCGAATATTCCCAGAAAGTGAGAATTTCTGAGAGATAAAAATGCTTATCTGGTTATGCAAGTTCATAATTTTTCGCATATTTGTGGCAAAGGATTTTCATTGTTCTATATTTGTTTTTGTAAAAATGTTTATGAGAGAAAATTCTGCCTTGAAAAAAAAATTGCGTAATAAGTCGGAAGAACAAAAGTCATTGTTTATCTTCAGTCTCATTCTCTGGTTGCATTCTTAACTGTTTTTAATAACAGAATAATTCATTAACTAGTGTTCTCGACCACTTTAACGCAATAGTAAACGTTTCAGAGATTATTCAGATGATAAAATAACTTTGATATTATAATATGACTAACTGTTTATGTGATACTGACATTATTCTATTACAAAAATATGATAGATACATTTTCGTGACAGGAAATTGAAAGATTCACATATTAAAACAAATTGCTTTCAATAATTTGTTTCCTTCGGAAATTTGCGACATATGGTCCGACCTGGGACACAAAATATTGACTTAAAAACAAGAGTAAGTTTTATTATTTATTCTTCTTAAATCTTTAAAAAATCAATTTAAAAAGAAATGTAATGTTTTTGACAGAGACATATAATACATATTTTCTGTTTGGGGGTTTTGGTGGTTTTTTTTTTTTTAATCGTATCTAAACGAATGTCTTGCAAATCCTTAATACCATGTGTATTCTATTTATTCTACTATACAGATGAATATGTAACAAAAAATATTGTTCCCATGAAAATTTGTCCGTTGGACAAAATTTCATATAGAATATTGTCCGCAGACACTATTTCATAATGAAATACTGTCCAGGACAATATTTCATCATGAAATAATATCCTTGTCCATGAAATTTTGTCACCTCCTTCAGGACAATATTTCACTATGAAATTCTGTCCATGACAATATTTCACTATGAAATACTGTGTATGACATTATTTCGCTGTGAAATTCTGTCCGTGACAATATTTCAGTGTGAAATACCATGAATACTGTCCATGAAAATATTTCTTAATCAAATTATTAAAAAATTAAAAACAGTACACACGCATGAAGCATGCACAGTTTTAGATTTATAACTGAAACTATTTTGGAAAGCAAGTATATATTTTATATTTCAAACAAATATTTATCTTAACATAAGCTAGTTTCAAATTTGCATAGATACTTTATAAATGGTTAATAGATTGAAGAATTGTCTTACCTATTTTCATTATACTTCATTATTCTGTATAAATATAAGAAATGTACTGACAATCACTTATACATGTCCAAAACTGAATGTACTTATAGTATTCGTTAAATACTTTGACGAATCTTTTTGCGACGGCGTTTTGGAGCTACAGCAATAACTGGAATGTCCTTTTCTAATATCTCCCATTCATTAGACAAAATTTCATGACAATCTGTCTATGAAATATTGTCTCAATATACACAAAAATATAACCTCCCTTTAACAGGACAAAATTTCATAGTATTCATCTATGAAATATTCTCTATATACAGAAAAAATTTCATAATGGAAATGTGTCCTTCTCTGGACATTTTTCCTAGATGAGGACAATATTTCATGATACATAGTCATGAAATATTGTCTTGGGGGACAATATTTCATAGGACAATATTTTGCTTTACAAATGTATCGAACAGTATACGATCTGATCGGGCAACAATACCAACCTTCACTGTATGGTGAGAGTAATTTAAAAAGCCTGCCTTCATGTGAAAGACCGTCAGTAGATTTTTTTTTTTGTATTTTGTTATTGAACTGTAGTGTAAATAGTACGCCACTCTGTAGAATTGTGAATCATTCAAACTCTCTTTTGACCTGTTTTAAACCTGACTTGAAAACCGCTTCTAAATTACATGCAGTAGATAATCTCTCTCCCTCTCTAAACAAAATCAATATTAACTTTAACAAGATTCATTCTACGCTGAGAGGTACATAAAACAAAAATAAGTACTTAAAACAATGATTTTGTGAAAACATTTCTACAGTATGTGTGGTTAAATTGCGGATGTTGTTGTGCGTCAGCACGGCATCTGGAAATAAACTTCAAATTAACTCACTTCCCCACTTGATTTAGTATGATGAGAGAGGCGCTGCTGTATGTTATTTTACAGGTAACAAGTGTATATCATTTATCTATCTCAGGGCCATAACACAATAATAATCCTTATTTTACAGCCTTTTGTACAAATAACCTATAATTCATATTCACAATCACGTTTCAAAATTTATAAATATTCATCCTTCATGGGGAAATTGTTATTTGATATCATGTTATTACACTATTTAGGTATGTAAGAGTAAATCTTTATAAAATTTCATTATAAACTATTTCTTTCTAAATACATGAACATTTACATTTTTTTCTGAGCTGCGAGCAATGTGTGAAATGATACAGGTCACCATAAATCGCAGGGCTAAATTTTTTTTACAACATTGTCTTAAGGGATATTATGTCTCTGAAGTACATAATGAAATATGACCTTATAAAATATTAAAATGGAACATGTTAGTATAAATTCAGCTTGAGAAAACAGTTTGGTAAGTATATAGCATGCTATCTCTAATATTCGGCTTTCAAATTGTCATTATTTTGTATTGATTTTTTCATACAAAAATGTAGTAAAAACAAAATTCAAGTACTCGCAAAGCGTTTTGTGTTCGTACCGGCCTACGAAGCAGCCAACAATGTGGTGGTGGTATGACATAAATACTACACGGAAGTCCTTAAGAATAGAATTATACTTTCTTTCAACTACATTCAAGGCCGTACGCTCCACAGAGAGTCATATAGTAAATAATCATGTCACAACCACCGCTCAGCTTAAGGCCTCTTCTGATTATTTGAAGGTCCCCACTATGTATTGGTTACCTAAACTACACAAAAAACCCGTAAACTATCGTTTCATCTCGGCCTCTAGTAAGTGTTCTACTACTAGAATTTCAGTGCTTTTAACGAGTTCCTTGACTACTATCAAAGAACTGATCATTAATTTTTGTAATAAAACATATGAAAATAGTGGAACTAACCATTTTTGGAGTGTAAAAAAATCTTTGTATGTTTTAGACATATTAAGTGCTTTTGATGGTCCTTTTGATTCGGTTGACAGTCTTTTCCACTCTTAACACTACACTTCCACACAATCTTATCAAACAAATGTTTTCCTATTTAATAAAATGGTCGTTCGATAAATCTGATAAACTCATATAAAGCCTGTTTCTCAAACGAGAAAGGTAAATATGCTAGATATACTTACTGGGGGTGTGGTTAGATGACTAAAGCCATAAATTTTCTCCTGACAACATTTATGTACGTTTCGGCAATACAGTTTATCGACAGATTGTAGGTTTTCCTATGGGCACCAATTGTGCCCCTTTAATAGTAGACTTGTCCCTGTACGGCTATGACCAAACTCAGTAAAGACCCGTCTAAATTCCATTTAATTGATTAATTCAACAACACTTACCGTTATCTTGATGATATTTTTCGTTAAATAATCAAAAATTCTCTAAATATACTGCCGAAATTTACCCATCGGAACTTAAAATAAATCAATATTAACAGCAATAAGTGTCCTTTCCTAGATTTAGATATTTCAGTTTTACACCAGATTCTCCACACAAAAAATTACTACAAAAGGGATGATTTTTCTTTCCCTATTGTTAATTTTCCTTTTTTGGACGGTGATATTCCCCTGGCACCATCTTACGGTGTTTATATATCCCAACTCGTTCGTTATGCACGTGTCTGTCGTGACGTTTTGGATTTCAATGAGCGTAATCTATATATTACTGGTAAATTATTAAGTCAGGGATTTCGCTACCACAAACTACTTAAAACCTTTACTAAATTCTTCCATAGATACAAAAATTTGGTTTGCCAGTTTGGCTGAAACCTGCAAAAAACTTATTTCAGACGGAATAGCACATCCTAAATTTTATGGTGATGTTGTTTACCGAGCCTGGAAATTTATATACGATCCTGGTAAACTTATCAAGCCTTTAAATAACATTATTCTAAAAGGTTACCAATTCGACACTGTAATTAGATCTTTGAATATTGTTTTTATTGGTATAAATATTGATTTTGTTATCAGTAAATTAAAATCATACTAAATAGTTTTGTTATACACATATGCACTTTAACGGTACTACAGTCTGTCGATACCTTTATTTTGGCATTACACAAGGTGATGTTTTTCTCTGACGTCTTTACACTAAATCCAGTGGATGTTGGATGTGTACTGATTGATATTTTAGTTTAGATACATGATTTTTTTTATTAGTTGTTATTGGCTTTGAACTAGCTGTCAGTAACTGCGAGTACTCTCAGATCTGTACTTAGTGTGCTTTTTGTTGTAAGGGAAGAGGGATGGATAAATACCCTGCCACGTCCGGTCTGTGTTTATGTTTAGTGTTTTTCTGCTTTGTATCGATCTCATGAGTTAAGCCTTTTTTAACTGATTTTTATAGTTTGTTCTTATGTTGTGCTGTTACACTACTGCCCCAGGTTAGGGGAGGGTTTAGCGCTCACAAACATGTCTAACCACGCCACATTCTTTATGTGCCTGTCCCAAGTCAGAAGCCTGTAGTTTAGTGGTTGTCGTTGGTTAATTCATGTCTGTCATATTTGTTTTTCGTAAATTGTTTTATTATAAATTAAGCCGTTAGTTTTCTCAATTAAATTGTTTCATATTTTTCATGTCAGGGCCTTTTATAGTCGACTATACGGTATGGGTTTTTCTCATTGTTGAATACCTTTCGCTTGCCTATAATTGTTTACATCCACTTTATTTGAACTTTGGTGGATAGTTGTCTCATTGGCAATCATACCTCATCTCCTTATTTTTATAACATAGGTAATCATGATAAAAATGGCAAAAATGGATATTATCCGCCTACACCTTCCTATTCGGATGCTAACTGATTCAAGAGACTAAAACGGTCAGTTGGAGGGGGTCTGGTACGATGAAGACAAACATGTTATAGATCTAGCTTCTCTACACTAGGCACGATGATGGCATGGTGGTTACTTAAGACTCACCAATAATAATAATGTTCCTTTTTGTATTTATTAATGACAATCAGAATTATTCCCATATATATTATATATAAGAATTTTTCTATTAGACACTATGTATACTTGGTCATGTCATTTAGCATCGTCTCTTGGTGCCTCTTGCAGTCGGGTCACCTTACAACATGTCGTCGTGAATGTGTGCCCGTCAGAAATGCTATGTAATGTTGTTAGAGCCTGGTAGTATACACTGTGGAACTGGAACTCTAGTGAATAAAGACGTCTTTGAAATTGAACTTGGTGCGAAATGAATTCCGGCGAAATTGGTCCTACTTCTGTTTGGCTTACGAGAAAAGAGTTGAAATTAAATTTAAAAAAACTGGATTGACTTAAAACTTGATATGCAAATTCCGTCCTCATTTTAGTTTATTTATTCGATGCAACAGCTATTTTAATAATGCAATTTATTTCATCTCTCAACCTCGG